CAGCTCTCCCCTGTGAGCACAGAGTCCTGTGTTAACAAAGAAGCTGACAATTGTTGGGGTCTGCGGTGCTCTCTGAGGCTTGGTGGTTTTCTTGCAGACGTTTCATTAGCAAAGTAGGTAACATCATCAGTGCTAGTAGCTGGCAACTGAAAGTCTTATCTTTATATATATATATAAAATTAATCATATCCACACAGTTGCTTTGGAAAAGTCCAAATATGTACGAGCCAAGTTTCTTATCTTTGTCCAGGAAGATCAGCTCTGCAATTTTTTAACAGAAGCTGCAAAACAATCCAAAAATAAACCTTGGCTTAAGGGTCACCAAAAGAACAGGATGGCCCTGGATCAGAACTGCAAACTAAAAACCCTCTAAAGGAGATTTATCTGTAGCTCAAGGTTGAAATGAGGGGACTTTGGTGATCTCAGAGCTTGGTGGCTCTCTGACATGATTTCACCCTTTTTCCTCCTCCTCCTCGCTTTGCAGAGCTACGGCATGGTGGCCAGCAAGAGACAGCGTGCCGAAGCAGATGATCTTTGTGCCATTTGTCAAGCTGAGTTTCAGAAGCCGGTTGTCCTCCTCTGCCAGGTAACACTCAGCAGTCAAACCCTTGTAAGCCACACCTTGTACACCTGGCACGAGCGCATGCACCGTTTTCATTATAACAGCACTTCCGTACCAAGTGAAATCTTCAGCCCCTTAATGCCTATGGAGATTCTCAGCCATCCAGGTCATGGTTGTCCCAAAAGTGTTTCTTTCAAGAGGCAACTGGACTTTCTTTGTTTTTTCCTTGAAGCCAAAAAGCTTCTCCAGCTCTGACTGGGGAATGGAAGGATTTATATTCCTTGCAGGCAGCTGGTCATTTGCATCCCTGTTGAGGCCACTTGGAGATTTAACCGTGTCCTCAGGATCACCTGAGGTGTGATAGGTGTGGAGCCTTCTTGGAACTGTTGAAGGACCGTGTTGTAGACTGGAGAATGATGATGATGATGTATCCCTCCACCTCTATTGAGAGAGGGATGCTCAATTTGGACATAGATGGCCTCTTTGACCCCTCTTTCAAACCAGCGTTCCTCTCTGTCCAGAATGTGGACTTTGGCTGTCTTCAAAAGAGTGGCCTTTCAGATGCTGTAAGAATGCAAATGACCAGCCGTCTGCAAGGAGTATAAATCCTTCCATTCCCCGCCATCCAATCAAAGCTGAAGAAACTCCTTGGATGAGAAGTGAAGCTTCCAAGAAAAACCAGAAAGTCCCAGTTGGCTTTTGAAAAAAGCACTTTTGGGGAAATCAGCCCCTTGGTTATTTAAGAGCCTTGATAATACAGTGGTCTACGCACGCTGTTATTAACACAGCTGCCTGCAATTTCTGCTGGTTCGAATCTCTCCAAGGCTCAAGGTTGACTCAGCCTTCCATCCTTTCTAAGGTAGGTGAAATGAGGATCCAGTTTGTGGGGGCAATAAGCTGACTTTGTATAAATATACAAAAGTATGAAGGCTATTGCTTAACGCATTGTAAGCCGCCCTGAGTCTCCGGAGAAGGGCGGCATATAAATCAAATTTAAAAAAAAAAAAATCGGTCTTGCAAATATTGGGAGATCCTCTTCAGTCTGAATGTTTGACCTCAAAGTATTCTAACTGGTGCATAAGCCTTACCAGATCTGAATCTGAGTTTTAAGGCGAAGTGGAAGTATCTGAAAGGTTTTTGGATCCCGTTAAAGGTAACCCTTGACTTGCAACCCTGATGGAGCCTGTTCAATGTGGTCATAGGTCGTAACAGTCATAAAGTGGGTCATTCCTGTCAATGACTACTTCAGCTTCAACCACAACATTACACGAGCAAATAATAGATACAAACTCAAGGTAAACCACTCCAAACTCGATTGGAGAAAATATGACTTCAGCAACAGAGTGGTCAATGCCTGGAATGCACTACCTGACTGTAGTTTCTTCCCCAAACCCCCAAAACTTTAACCTTAAACTGTCTACTGTTGACCTCACCCCATTCCTGACGTGCATAAGTGCACTAGCGTGCCTACCATCCCTGTCCTAATATTCCTTTTTACTTACTCTTTTCATGTATTCAAATTATGTTTATACATTTACCTGTTATCTTATATATGCTTGACAAATAAACTTATGATCACGTGACTCGGAGCTGAAGAAGCTTCTTGGATGAGAAGCGAAACATCTTCATAGAAAAAAAACCCCAGAAAGTCCAGTTGCCTCTTGAAAAAAAAGCACCTTTCCCTAACGTTTGCACGCGCCTCTAACCAAAGCAATCCCTTCTTTTTCCAGCACGTATTTTGTGACGACTGCATCGCTCTGTGGCTGAACCGGGAGAAGACGTGTCCCCTCTGCCGAACCGTCCTTTCCACTCACGTCAACATGTGGTACGATGGCGCAACCTCTGCACAATTGCAACTCTATTAAAACAAAACTAAAAATAAAGTGGCCGTGTGCTTCACAGTATGGACTCATTTGAACGCGTTGTAGAGGACATGGCTGGAAGGAGAGAGGGATGCAGAAGGAATAATGCCTTGTTCTCTCCACTGACTGTATTGGAATTCGTTCAGATTATCACAGCACGTATCCTACTTAATTTTCCATACGGAATTATCCCCGTTCAATGCTGCTGCTGCTGGGAAATTCTCAAATTTCTTCAGTATCAAAAGATTATTTTTTACAGTCACTAGTCTACCAAATCAGCGGTAGCACTGCCTCCAGTGTTAACATCTGGTGTGAGCAAACTTTAGATTCTGAGGTACAAAACCTACCTTGTAGGATCTGGCGTTGTCGGGATGCTTCTAACCATTGTACCTGGCCGTCACATGGCGAGAATCATGGAATCGTTTCCGCTTTCCATGTCCGAAAATCTCAAATTTCAATTATGCAAATGTGGATGAAAATTTTCTACTTTTTTTTAAGTCTGAATTTTAAAGAACAAAAGGTTTTGGCCTCTATTTTGTCATAAGCAGCTAGATTTTTACTAAAGAGGAAAGCTGTATTTTAGTGATACTTTAAAAAAAAATGTAGCATATGGTTGATGAAAATAAATGCAGTTTGAATGTCAGCCTGCGATTTTTTGTGTTCAACCTTTTTACATGTTTAATGTTCCGTCCCCCTTCCTCACACAGACAAACATAATACCAAGCACGCCTGCCAATATTTTATTAGGTAAACAGATTAGAATTCTTGGCAGACCAAGGTTTTGGCAGCAAGGTTTTGCCGAATGCCTGCCAAGACCATTTTCACTCCCATAAAGCAGAAGAGGACTTATCTTCAGTCCGTTCCAGGAGCAACAAATTATCCACGAGACAAGAGTTCAGTCAATGTTCAGTCCAAAATATATCCAAGCCGAATTTCAGAGATCACAATGTGACTTTCAGGGTTTAACTTTGTCCGTCCCAAAGCCTGAAGAGCAATCCCACCCACTTTTATTCCTGGTGGGGCGTGGCTCTGTGACTCAGCTCAATCTCTGGCCCTCCCACGCCTCTTCCGTTGCTGCGCACGCTTCTCCCTCCGACGCTGCCTGGGATCAAGCCAGGATTCATCATCCTCGCTCCCTATCAATTGGTGCTCCGATATGCCTTCCTCCTGGCACATCCCAGGCTGTTCCTCTTGGCCTTCGGATGGAACCTGAGGCATTGCCAGAGAGGAGGGTCCTGGAGAGGGAGGCCTTGTCAGTTCCTCCCCATCACCTTCTGAGTCCTCTTCCTCTGTTAGGACAGGCTCGGGAGTTGGGGTCACATTTATAAACTCATTTTTTCCCTGCATTTATATATATGACATGAATTTACTTGTGACCGAGGAATAGGTCTAATATATGGTGTTGCTGGTTGACTCTGCCCACTCTCAGGAGTTCGATCCTGACCAGCTGAAGGTTGACTCAGCTTTCCATCCTTCCGAGGTGGGTAAAATGAGGACCCAGATTGTAAACTGCTTAGAGAGGGCTGTAAAGCACTGTGAAGCAGTATATAAGTCTAAGGGCTATTGCTATTGCAAACTGCCCACTGCTAGGAGTTCGATCCTGACCGGCTCAAGGTTGACTCAGCCTTCCATCCTTCAGAGGTGGGTAAAATGAGGACCCAGATTTGATAAGTTTGCATTTCAGCAAAATTCTCCCTGATGGACTGTGGTATATCTATTTGTTGTTTTCTGTCTGTCTGTCTTCTAACTATTATGTCTGTCTGCCTTCTATCTATTATCTATCAAATTAGATTGGATAACCATTTGTCTGAAATGGTATTAGATTATAGAATTTCATGCTTGAGCAGGGGTTAGACTAGAAGACCTCCAAGGTCCCTTCCACCTCTGTTATTGTGTTATCCATCCATCCACCCTCTACCTATATCTATCATCATGAGTTGTGGTGGTGCAGTGGTAAACACTTCTGTTAACTGCCATCTGCCCTCAGTTCGATTCTCACCAAGGTCGACTCAGCCTTCCATTCTTCCGAGGTGGGTAAAATGAGGACCCAGATTGTTGGGGGCAAGAGGCTGACTCTGTAAACTGCTTAGAGAGGGCTGTAAAAGCATTGTGAAGCAGTATATAAGTGCTATTGCTATTTGCACAAATAGCAGGTGTTTGTGTGCGTGTGCTGGGGACCCCTGCCCTATAAGGTGACGCTGGGCAGCTGTATATGGACTGGATTCTGAATAGATGGATTGTACTGTCTGTGGTATACTTACTAACAACTCATCATTGACTTGGGTTCATTAGCTTTAATAATTCGTCAAAATCCGGGAAGCCGAAATTAAACCAGTGTCATCATGGCTTTGACCACAAAACGAACATTCAAGCGCATGCTTCCTTATTCAGAGTCAATTACTGGTCTATTTCTTGAGTATTTGGTACTCTTATCTTTCCCTATTTAGTTGCACCTGGCAAAAAACTACCTTCAGAGCCCTAACGTTTCACCTGTTGGCGCCTAGCCGCTCAGATTGGCTTGGCAACCCAAGTTTCTCCCTTGGAGAGCAAGAAATAAAAGAAATCACACTATTCGATCGTTTGTCCAAAGTTGCATTTAATTGCTATTTACACCCATCTGTTTTGAAATCAAGTATATTTTATTACAGTAAATAGTACAGAATGAGGTAAGAACCCTCATACCATTCCTTGTAAGGCAGCTGTAGTCGGATTCGTAATGGATGGTTAACACAGCCAGCTAAAAGTGTTGCAGAAAGAACATACGGTTTTTTTAAAAAAAGGGTACAGGTGAAAAGCTGTCATTGTGCATCACTTTGTTGAGCTCTTCCCATCCCCTCCTCCCTTCCTTAAAAGTACCAGGGTGCAGACGTTTTAATGACTGAAGGTACACCGGGTAAGATGGCTAGAATGAACCCTGCATCGTTTCATCCTTCCGAAAGCTTAAAAGCTTTATCCTGGCTTACGCAATGTTGTCATCAACACATCCAGGACACAGCTTCTATTTCAACGGGGATTAACAAGCCTTGGCTCTGCCTTCCAGGTGACTGGTGTTGCTAGACAAATTTGCACACCTTACAGCCAGAAAGGACCGAGAAAGTCACCAATCTGAACTACAGTTTTACACACAGCTGCTGCCCTTCCGACCTGCGTACACAGCAGTCCTAGGTTATCAGCAGAAGAGGATATTTGTAGCTCAGGGTTGGACCTTGGGGGTCCCTTGGGGCTCTCTGAGCTTGGTGGTTTTCTTTGCAGACGTTTCATGACCCAGGTAGGTAACCTCATCAGCGCTAGAAGGGAGTGGGGTTTTGCACTGATGAGGTCACCTAGTTGGGTCAAGAAACGTTTGCAAGAAAACCGCCAAGCTCAGAGAGCACCAAGGACCCCACAGTCTGTAGATCCAAGATGGCGAACCTATGGCATGTGTGCCAGACGTGGCATGCAGAGCCCTCTCTGTGGGCATGTGCGCGGTCACCAGCTGCTTTTCTGGTTTCCAGCGCCCGCAAGCGCACCAGCCAGCTGGTCTGCGCATTTGCCGGAGCGCCAGACCCGAAGACCATATGACTCATGCATGCCGGCCATCTGGTCTATTGGTTTCAAGCGCTCACAAAGGCCATCTGGCCAGCGCGCATGCGAGCGCTGGAAACCCAAAGACCAGGTGGCCAGCATGCACGAGTCCGATGGTCTTTGTGTTTCCGGTGCTCCGGCGTACAAGCCCAGTTTGGTCACTTAGTGCCAAACAGATTTGCCATCACTGTCCTACATTATTCAAAACATACCTACATTCTCCCCTTTTTCTCCTACAGCACCAATGCAGGTAAACACACCTTGGGCCAACATGGTAGGGAAAGCAGTAGACCCCACCCCCCACTAGTCCACCTCTGGCCGCTTGAGAGGCCAGTTCTGTGACATCCTGTCCCTTGGATCATAGGAACAGCCTTCTGCAGGCTCCTCCTGGCTCAATCAGATAGGAGCAGGTGGCTTCAGGCTGGGGAAGGAGATCACCTGTTTCCTCCCTGAAGATTGTCATCTACAGAGCTTCTACGAAAGTTGGTCCTATGGTCCTATGAGAGTAGCAGGTACACGCAACTGCAGCTCCACGTGCACCAGCGGCTGTCACTCACATGCGCACGTGAAGTTCCATTTGCGCAAGTGCCTGCCGCTCGCGCAAATGGAGCTGCCTGCCACTTGTGCAGCCCATCCCGAACAGGCTGCCACCCAGTTACCGGGGGCCAAGGCCCAGGGGATTGGGGACCCCCTACTCTTAACACATGGATAGTTTCTCCCGGGATCATAGGAACAAGATTAACACTATAGACTTGAACATGTTCGCCTTAACTTGGTTAGAATACAAGGGAAACTGTGACCCACAATGCCTGGAGGAAGCTTGACAGCTGAGGGCACCAAAACAAGCTTGGCACGCCAGAAGCGTCCATGCCCACAGATGGACAACCAAGCGATCCAATGCCTGCCCCTAACACGTCAGGCAAGCCGACCCTTTCAAATTATTTCTTATTATTTCCTCAAAGCAAACTCTAGTATACAATCAGCACTGATTCTTAGCCGAACGAAAACATGGTTCAAGTCATCAAGATTTAATACTTAATATATATATATATATATGTTGTTAGCTTCAGCAGGTATTAACCCCCGTTAATTTCTTCTTTATAGAAGGATACAAAAATCTATAAAAAAATCAAACGATAGCAAAAAACCCCAAGATTATAATTAAAAAAGCACAGATCGTATAAAATAAATCTGAATTACTATACCCCAATGGAAACCTTTTTTTTTTTTTAAGACATTGTTAAAGAAAGCACTTAATTTCTCCAATAGACATTTCCATAGATGGTTGTGGTTTTTTCATGAGAGAATCACGCTCTCTCTGAAGTTGACACAATAGCTATTATCTACAAGAAGGGCAGGAATCCAGGTCGGGAAATTGATTCTTTATACAAATAAATACAAGACCACCCAAATTGCATAGTGTGTGCGCTTAACTGTCCCAAATCGCAATTCCAAGTTTTTCACAGTTTTTTTTAAAAAAGATCAAAAGGGGCACGTGAAATATCTAACCTTGGGGGTGTCCCAACTCTGGCAACTTTTAAAGACTGGTGGATTTGAATTCCCAGAATTCCCCAGCCAGCCATGGCTGGCTAGGGAATTCTGGGAATTGAAGTCCACTGATCTTAAAAGTTACACAAGGTTGGCTAGCCAATGACACAATTCCATCAAACACACTGCTAGATTTCCTCTGCTAATCCCTCGGCTAAAAGAGGTCTACTTAAGCTACAGCACACAACATACGCAAGGTGATTGTAGCCAGCCACAGAGAAGGAACTCGCCAAACACCGAAAGGTGAGCATCCTGCACCACTCCAAATCCAGTTTTCACGGGATTGTGTGTGTGTGTGTGTGTGTGCGTGTGCGCGCGCGCCTCCATAGGAAGAACTACCTTTTTCATGGTTCAGACAAGGAAAAAAGTTCTACCTGTCCCACTGGATGCCTTTCCAAGGCTCGGCTATTTCCAGGTATATATGGACCTTCCACCCCAAGAATTCTTCTCAATAGGTCATGCTGGCTGTGGAATTCTGGGAGTTGGAAGTTCACACACCTGGAAATGAGCAAGGTTGGGAAAGGCTGTTTTCTAGAGCCAGAGGGCCGGCTAACAGCTGGGTTTTCCAAAGGACACAGGAGAAAGCAAGCAAGCCCCCTTTTTCCTGGGCCTGTCAAGATCCTCCCTCAGACAATGGCGGTCTTCGTGTGACTGAGGACCACAAACCGGAGTCTCCCTCCTCTTCCCTCCCCTCCCCTTTCGGACTCTTCCCCAATTGTGCTACTATTCCTCTGCAAAAGGAAACAATGCCGTGATTAGTTAGTTGATATGACACCGGACACTAAATCCGAAGCAGGTGCCCGTGGTAGAACAACAGTGGAAGATCCCCGATCTAGCTCACACTCAGATCCTACCCTCATCCAGAAATGTCTCACTATTCACATGACATTAATTGATGCTTGGGGACATGGGAAAGGGTCTCATTTTGGAGTGGCCCATGCAAAATTTAGGAGATTGCTGGTCCACAGGAATTAAATCTCATGTTCTAGGAGTCCCCAAGCTTGCTCACTTTAAAGACTTGTGGGCTTCAATTCCCAGAATTCCCCAGCCAGCAGGCTTTAAGACGGGGGTCTCCAGACTTGGCCACTTTTAAGGCTTGTGGACTTCAAGTCCCAGAATTCACCAGCGAGTCATGCTGACTGAGGATCTCTGGGAATTGAACTCCCCAAATCTTAAAGTAGCCCAAGTTTGGAGACCCACTTTAAGGCTTGTGGACTTCAAGCCCCAGAATTTCTCAGCCAGTCAAGATGGCTGGAGAATTCTGAGAGGGGAAGTCCCTAAGTCTTAAAGTGGCCACATCTGGAGAGTTCCTTGTTTTAGAACCTGAACAGGCTCCAGAGCTACCTAAAGGAGAATCACACCCCCACTTTTCAGTGGGTCTTTCGTTTTCCAGGATTGTGTCTTTTAATTTTGCATCTGGAGGGGGAAGCCAAGGTAGACAGCTCTACACTCAACAGAGGTGAGGCCATGCTCAACAATCCCCCCCTCCCCTCAACACGGCCCCCCCGACTTCTGGAACGGCTTGGATCCGAGATGTGGAAGTCCAGTTGGGGAGAAAAACCCACAGAAGAGGTTCTGGCTAGTTTCAAATAAAAATATAATTATGGCTCAGATCCTATGGCTCAAGGAGAGAAGCACAACAAAACATCACAAAAACCCTCTAAGTAGCCACGATTGCAGACTGACCAGGTGTAACGAAGGGGAGGGAAACCAATCAAAAGGATGCCCACCTTGTCCCAACAATTCACACTCACCCACACTCTACCCTAGAGTAAAGCTCTGTGGACCACAATTCACCCTTTCACCAGCTGTAGCCATGGAAATGCTTTCTTTAAGGCAGGAAGTATTTAAGTTAAGGTAAAGTTACCTTTATTTAATTCTTTGTACCTGTGACGGTATAGTCATTTGTGTACAGGTTTTCTTTCTTTCTTTTTCTTTCTTCAATAACACTCGCAGAAACATAAATAGCAAATCTTCTGAACATTTCCTAAAAATTAAATTGCAAAAAGTTCTCTGGAAGACATTCGTCGAAGGCCATCGTAATACTTGTTGTGTGTTTTTCTTTTTCTTTTTCCTTTTTCCCTTTTATCCCCTCAATACAATCAACGGATGGGCTTGCCCCAGCAGAGAAGTTACACGGTCGTCCATCACGGATGAGCAATGGAACAATTACGGGGTAAACCATCTCTTCTGAGCATTACCAATCGGCTGCAACACCAATAGATATGTGTGCAGGTCTTTATTTTTTTTAAAAAAAAGATAAGCCGTCTGCTGAAGCTTGTGCCCCTTTTGTGATAGGTTTAAGCCTTCCTTGGCACGTGCCAGGGTCTTGAGCAAACTATATAACCAGCATAAAAAAGAGACGAAGTTCCCGATGGCCAGATTTTTGTTCAGAATGATGAGAATATAAGACAAGACACCTGGAATTCAATACACCCACAGAACTCCAGGCCAGCAGGGCAAAACTTGAGCTTGGGGGAGGGCAGGGAAAAACGTCACAAAGACCTCGGATTAAAACACGGGACGTCCGCACACGAGCCAAGGTTTTAGCGCAGTCAACAGCCTGAGGGGATCCTTTTAAAAACGAATCAAGACAAGACAAAAAAAAAAAAAAAAGGAAAAAAAAACATTTAAACCAGATGAAGAGGGTAAAACCCTTACCCTATCAATCTTGGCAACGTAATTAACAGTGATTTATTATTATTATCTTTTTTTTTTTTTTTTTTACAAAACCATTATTTCAAATATAATAAGAAATGTTAAGTCTTGCTAGCTTGTTCTCTCTCTTTGCTGCGGGAAATCAATAATTCCATAATGTTCCAACTTGTGGCAGACTTTTCATAATGAGCCCCTTCTAAAAGGGGAGGGGGGAAAAAAAACTAGTTGAAAAATATAGATTTATATATATGTATATATATATATAATTTTCTTTTTTTAAAAAAAGATTCGTTTAGATTGTTTTTGCACGTGGAATCCTAATGGTTGGAGTTAAGCCTCGGACCACCGATAATTTCTTAAAATTGCAGGAAGCCACCTGAAGGAACTTGGGTGGGATCAGGTAGGAAACAGCCAGGTTGGCATTCTGCACATTTGCCCAGGGGGCATTGACTTCCCCTGCGGGCACAACCATGCAGGACAGCCAGAGTCTACTCTCCACCCCGTTAACTTCAAGCGATTGACTTGTGGGGGGGGGGGGAATCTTTGATAGAGCGGAAAAGATACCACGCTGCGTTATCGGTTAGCTGCTGTGCCTAAGTTGTGTAATACCATTTTTTTTTTTTTGCTCACGTCCTGTCTTTATGCACCATTGATTCAAAGGAGGGAGTGAGGAGGTGGGGAGAAAGAGAAAGGAGGAGGGAGGGAAGGAAGGAAGGAAGCAGGGAGGGAGGGAAGGAAGGAAGGAAGGAAGGAAGCAGGGAAGGAGGGAGGGAAGGGAAATCCATTTTTTTCATTCTTCTTTTCCGTTATTCTGTGCAATGACTAACTTGATACCATCACTGAGAGGGAGGGGGGTGGGGAGAAAAAAAAAGCCACGAGAGGTTTCGTCTTTTGGCAGGAGGGTGGGCGGTGAGGCATGGCTGCCCTTGCAGAGAGCTGTCCTTCTCTTCTGCCGTCGCTCAAGCCGGGTTTCGGGGAAAAGGACTGCGGTCGATGGTGTCATAGGTTCATGCGCAAGTGCTCTGGTCGTTTGGAAATGATGGGGAAGGCCTGCTTTTTGTACGGCCCCGTGTTGGGCTGCCGGATCGGAAGCGGAGCTGAGGCTTCTCCGCAGACTGTTACATCCATCTGTTCGATCCCACCTGTCTCCATCGGGTAGTCCACGGGCAGCTGAGGATTGGCCACGCCGGAGGAACCGCCTCGTCCCCAAAAGTCGCCCGGAGAGAACTTGACAGGGCTTTGGAAGAGAAGAAGCAGCCGTTAATTTTTTTTTAATCAAAAAATAAATAGTTTTTATATCTATATCTACAGTGGGGCAAAAAAGTATTTAGCCAGCCACCAATTGTGCAAGTTCTCCCACTGTAATTGTCGTCATAGGTAGACCTCAACTATGAGAGACAAAATGAGAAAACAAATCCAGACAATCACATTGTCTGATTTGGACAGAATTTATTTGCAAATTATGGTGGAAAATAAATATTTGGTCAATATCAAAGGTCAAACGTTTTCTCTAAGTCTTCACAAGGTTGGCACACACTGTTGCTGGTATGTTGGCCCATTCCTCCATGCAAATCTCCTCTAGAGCAGTGATGTTTTGGGGCTGTCGCTGGGCAACATGGACTTTCAACTCCCTCCAAAGGTTTTCTATGGGGTTGAGATCTGGAGACTGGCTAGGCCACTCCAGGATAATGTGATTGTCTGGATTTGTTTTCTCATTTTATCTCTCATAGTTGAGGTCTACCTATAATGACAATTACAGGCCTCTCTCATCTTTTTAAGTGGGAGAACTTGCACAATTGGTGGCTGACTAAATACTTTTTTTGCCCCACTGTATATCCATCCATCAATCCTTCCATCTATCCATCATCTCTCTCTCTCTCTCTCCCCTCTATCTAATCTATCCATCCATCTATAATCTCCCTCTCCCTCTCTCTCTCTCATCCTCTTGTGCAACTCCCAGAATTCCTCAGCCAGCCATGTTGGATGGGGAATTCTGGAAGTTGAGGTCCACAAGTCTTCAAGTTGCCAAGGTTGGAGACTCCTGTGCTAAGCCAAGTATTTTACAGGCAAAAGGTCAAACCATTTTGTACATAAGCCCAATAGTTGTGTCTACAGTGCAACTTAAGCCAAAATATGCTGACTATAGCAATAGCACTTAAGATTTATATACCGCTTCACAGTGCTTCACAGCCCTCTCTAAGCGGTTTAGAGTCCGCATATTTCCCCCAACAATCTGGATCCTCATTTAACTAACCTCGGAAGGATGGAAGGCTGAGTCAACCTTGAGCCTTGGTGAGATTCGAACTGCCAAATTGCAGGCAGCCGGCAGTCAGCAGAAGTAGCCTACAGTACTGCACTCTAACCACCGTGCCACTGTGGCTCTTTGTGTATGTGTAACTTAACGGTGAGGCCAATGATTCAGAAGTTCTGCATTTACATGCGCCCATTTTCCAAGCTGGAGATCACGGCAGGGCCATCAACTACAAAGGTGGCCTTTCTACCTACTGACTTATTGACATTTTATGGCACTGGCAGGATTGTATGGAATCCTGTTGGCAAAGCTTTGGGATGAAAAACTCGACATTCCCACGCAATTGACATTCTCAAGCTTCCACGAAGAGCAGGCGCACGCTACCACTCACGAAACATCCAGCAATAGGAAGAGACAAATACCTGATGGGGGTCCGAGGACTGCCAATGAATCTGCGCGGTGACCGGATTTTTGGTTCAAAGGAAAACTTCTCTTTTACGCTTTCAAGTACGGAGGGAGCCACATACGTGAAACCCTGCAAGGGGAAGGAGGGGAAACGAGGGTGGCCAGTGACCATCCCCACCAAAAAAAAGAAGCCGAGTGAGGGCACCGCATTGCAATGAAATCAAAACAGGCCATGAAGAACCAACCCTTATCAACATTGCAAGGAGAAGCAGCATACAGGAGCGCCAAGATGGCCTAACCAGGCTGATCCGTTGGGTCAGCTCTGGAGAGAAAGCTCCTTCCCGGTCAGTTGCCTTCGGACTCTCCTTATACCCAGCAACACTACAGAAAAATGTATTTAAAAGATAGATAGATAGATAGATAGATAGATAGATAGATAGATAGATAGATAGATAGATAGATAGATAGATAGATCCCACCATTTATTAATTTGCAAACTAGAACCTGTTGTGACCTGTCAGAGGATCTAGCAGCAGATTCGGACTAGTGAGGAGGTTGAGGAGGAATATGGGCCAGTCCTGGAGTCTGGGGAAGGCTCTGACGAGTGCTCTGCATTGGAGGCAGAGGATGGGGTCAGGGCTGTCTGACAGTTTTCAGCTACTTTCGGAGTTGGACATCAGTGGGGCAGAAGAACAGCTGGAGCCTGTTCCCAGTGTGTGCATGCGCAGAGCTGCCAGAAGGGAACTTTACTTTACTTTTACTTTTATTTGATTTATATACCGCCCTACTCCCGAAGGACTCAGGGCGGTGAACAGCCAACAATAAAATACATACATACCAAATTTAAAAAGCAGAAATAAAATCAAATTAAATAGTTTTGGCCCAGACAGATTAAAACCCCAATCAATTTAAAACAAATTTAAACATTTGAATATTTAAAAATACTAAAAAATATTAAAAATTAAAAAATTTTTAAAAGAGGGAGAAAATTAGGCCAGGCCTGCCTGGTGAAATAAAAAGGTCTTTAGAGTGCGGCGGAAGGTGTGCAGATCCGGGATCCTTCGTATCTCCGGGGGGAGCTCGTTCCAGATAGTAGGTGCCCCACAGAGAAGGCTCTCCCCCTGGGGGCCGCCAGTCGACATTGTTTGACCGACGGCACCCGGAGGAGCCCCTCTCTATGGGAGCGTACCGACCGGTGGGAGGCTATTGGTGGTAGTAGGCGGTCCCGCAAGTACCCAGGTCCTGAGCCATGGAGCGCTTTAAAGGTGGTAACCAAAACCTTGAAGCGCACCCAGAAGACCACCAGGAGCCAGTGCAGCTCGCGCAGGAGGGTGTTACATGGGAATGCCATGTCGCTCCCATTACCACCCGCGTGGCCGCACTCTGCGCCAATTGGAGCCTCCAGGTGCTCCTTAAGGGGAGCCCCATGAACAGCTAAGGAACAAGGGTCGACTCAGGAGTAAAGCCACAGGTGGACGGTGAATGGCCCCTCCCATAGGGAATAAAGAGGAGCGAAAGGGAAGGGGAGTTTGCAAGAGACAATTAGTTCAATTCATGAGGGTGAAGATCTGTTCCTGACTTCTTGCCAAGTATTGTCCGCTACAGAGTGGCGTTTGGAAGATGTCGGCCTGGCAGCTCTCCAAGCCTGATAAAGGTCTGTACTTGTGAAATCTCTTGGAGCGCTGGAACTTTGCTGGAGAGGAATTCCCCTTAAACTAAATAAAAGGGGTTTTTATTGGGACGAGGAGTCAGCTTCGTGCTTTTGGGAAGCCTAGGTCAGAACAGAACCTGGGTTACTGTCTCTTTTCCAATACTTGCCATTTAGTCTATCCAGCTGCAAAGAGCGTGCCTCCTTCCCATTGAACTGCAACTCATTCCCATCTTCTGTGAAACAAGACCTTGTGTCCTTACTGCTCCTACAGATAGTCCTCAACTTAGATAATTCATTCAGTAACCACTTGAAATTACAGTGGTGCTGGGGGAAAAATGGACTTGCTATGCCTGAAGTTACACCTCTTGCAGGGCCTCGTGGTCAGGCAATTAAAACTCAGATGATTGACAGCTGTACTGCAACTCTCCCACCCACCCGTCTCTTCCCTAATTTATGCCGACGAGTGCCACTGTGCAGGGCAGCCAAAAGGGCAAGGATTGGAGGAAGGGGAGATAGATAGGTGAGGAGAGTTGCACCCCCAGGTTCATAAGCACTGCTGGGCCAGGTGGGGGACCTGAGGCTTCCAGGGTGGCTTTGCACAGCACTGCACTGTCCTTCCAACTCACATGCGGCCTGTCCCAGTTCAGAGGCTCCCCTTGGTGCTTTTTTTCAAGGGGCAACTGGACTTTGTTTTTAAGGGGTCCTTGGTGCTCTCCGACCTTGTTTTCTTGTAGAAGTTTCATTACCCAAACTAGGTAACATCCTCAGTGCTAATAAAGAGTGCAGTTTACAAACTCACAGCAAATGGCAGTCCTTACTAGCACTGAGGATGTTACCTAGTTTGGGTAATAAAACGTCTGCAAGAAAACAAGGAAGCTCAGAGAGCACCAAGGACCCCTGAGTCAACCCTGAGCTACAAATGTTCTCCCTTTATTGGTTTCTTGTTTTTCTTTGAAGACATCTCGCTTCTCATCCAAGAAGCTTCTTCAGCTCTGACTGGAGGGTGGGGAATAGAAGGATTTATACTCCTTGCAGACAGCTGGTCATTTGCATTCTTTTAGCAGGTCATTAAGGTCAGCTGGAGGTTTATCTGTGTCCTCAGGGTCACCTGAGTGGTGGAAATTGGGTGTGGAGCCTTCCTGGAATTGTTGAAAGGACTGTGTTGTAGACTGGACAGAGATGATGTCGTATTCCCTCCTCCCTCCAATTGACAGAGAACTGTTCAATTTTGATGGCCTCTTTGGCCCCTTTAAACCAGTGGCCCTCTCTGTCCAAAATGTGGACGTTGCTGTCTTCAAAAGAGTGGCCTTTGTCTTTTAAATGTCGATGGACTGCTGAATCTTGTCCTGATGGGTCTGTCCTCCTATATCACAGACAAACCTCCCAGCGGCCTCATCTAAATTCTAAAAGAACGCAAATGACCAGCTGTCTGCAAGGAATATAAATCCTTCCATTCCTCCACCATCCAGTCACAGCTGAAGAAGTTTCTTCTTCAAAGAAAAATCAGAAAGTCCAGTTGCCCCTTGAAAAAAAATAAAAGCTCCTTTGGGACAACCAGGACCTGGATGGCTGAGAATCTCCATAGACTCTGTACAAGATCGAGGGAGAAAAATGAAAAAACAAAGGAAGTTTGTTATTTATATACATTGCCAGCAGCAAGGAGGAGGGAAATAGAAGAGTGAGGAACTCGAGGTAGGTGAAAAGGTAGATGAATAACCTCGCTTTTGAGATTATTCATCTACCTTTTGAGAATTTGAACCAGAGAGCAAACAGACCTGGTTCCAAAGATTCTTTTTCCAAAGGCAATTGGACTTTCCTGGGGTTGTTTTTTTCTCTTGAAACGTATTGCTTCTCATCCAGTTTGTAGAAGAAGCTTCTTGGATGAAAAGCGAAACGTTTTCAAGGGGGGGGGGAAACCCCCAAGAAAGTCTAGTTGCCTTTTGGGAAAAGAACCTTTTGGGACGACCGTGACCTGGATGGTTGAGAATCTCCATTGATACTCATCCTCAAACTGACTTACCACGAAAACTTGGTTGGCACTTTCGCTGAGGGTCGAGTCATCCGGGCTATCGACAGGAGTCTGACGTGTAAATTTTGCATCAAATTGGCTCACGTCTTCTTCGGATTGCTTTGCAAAAAACAAAAGTTGAGGAAGGGTGTTTTTTTATACTTTTAACAGACAAGCACAACAGCCTTAGCGGAAGACAAAAGCTTCTGGACGGAGGAAGCGTTCCGTAGATGTACCACCTGGAAGTCCTGCTGGAGTTCTGCCGCCGCCACTGGAGGGTCCCTTTTTGGACAACTGGGCTGAGAAACGAAGGCAAGGGGAAGGGGGAAGGGAGTCACGGATCAAAGAAAAGGAGGATTGAGAAGAGATGCCTTCAAGGCCAAGGCATCAAGGAGACCTCCCCTCCCAAGCACCACCTAACGGCTGGACTCCAGAGCTCTATGAAGTCTGAGTTACTGCAATTATAAAGTGCGTATAGGTAATCCTCGACTTGTGACCCAAAATTACCGTATTTTTCAGACTATAAGATGCACCGGAGTATAAGACGCACCAAGATTTCAAAGAGGTAAACAAGAAAAAAATATTTTTTGCCCCCCTCGGCCCCCAGGAGCACTCCTGCAGGCCTCCCAAACCCTCTGCGTGTCATGTTTTTGCGAAAAATGGGAAGCGCAGAGGGTTTGGGAGGCCTGCAGGAGTGCTCCTGGGGGCTGGGGAGGGCAAAATTGCGACACGTGGGGGGGTTCTGGGAGGCAAGAAACGTGCTCATTTTTCACGAAAAATGGGCCCGTTTTTCACAAAAACGGGAAGCGCAGGGGGTTTGGGAGACCTGCAGAGTGCTCCTGGGGACTGGGGAGGGCAAAAACGCCAATTTTCCCGAAAAATGGGCCCATTTTTGCCATCCCAAACCCCCCATGCGTCGCTTTTTTGCCCTCCCCAGCCCCCAGGAGCACTCTGCAGGCCTCCCTAACTCTTTGCATGTCTCATTTTTGTGAAAAACGGGCCTATTTTTGGCAAAAACGGGACTCGCGGGACGGGGTTTTGGGAGGCCAAAAATGGCTGTATTCAGTATATAAGTCGCACCAACATTTCCACCCTCTTTTAAGGGGAAAAAAGTGTGTCTGATACTCTGAAATGTACAGTAGTGACTTGACAGTTCAGTTCTTGCTAAGCAAGGCGGTTGTTAAGTGAGCAATGCCCAATTTTTTGACCTTTCTGGCCATAGCTGTTAAGCAAATCACTGCGGCTATTGAAAAATCATGTGCTCATTAAGTGAATCTTCTCCCATTGACTCTGCTTATTGAAAGCTGGTCAGGAAGTTGTGAATGATGATCACATGACCCAGGGATGCTGCAATTGTTGTAAATACTTGCAGGTTGCCTACCGTCCAAATTTTGAACAAGGGATCATGGGGATGCTATGACTGTCATAAGTGAATGGTTGTAAGTCGAAGACTACCTGAACAGTTCTATTTTGGATACAATTCACCAGCCTTCCCAATTCTGGATGCTTTCAGCTGAATATGTCTGCAACTTCAGAATTCCTACCCAACAGGACTGAAGAATTCGTTGCAATTCCAATGTTTCTGGAAGATACCAAGATGAAGGAAGCTGTACAGGTAGTCCTTGACTTATGACCACAATTGAGCCCAACTGTTGCTAAGCAAGACAGTTAAGTGGGTTTTGCCCCATTTTATGATGTTTCTTGCCACAGCTGTTAAGGGAATCTAGCTTCCCCATGAACTCTGCTTGTCAGAAGGTCACAAAAGGGGATCACATGACATCAGCACACTGCAAGTATCATAAATATGAACCAGTTGCCAAGTGTCCAAATTTTGATCACGTGACCAAGGGGATGCTGCAACGATCATAAGTGTGAAAAACGATCGTAAGTATATTTTTCCAGGGCCGTTTAACTTCAAACAGTCATTAAACCAATAGTTGTAAGGCGAGGACTATCTATAGCAGCCAGATGCATCTTTGAGCTCCAATTTATGGAAATGGATCCACGAATTATCCATTTTGCAACCCAACGGTTTATGGGAAGCCCAGATTTTGCTAGCAGTGCCAATCATCTGCCTTCCTCTGAAGTGCAAGAACCACTTTAAAACTGGGGGATGCATTTCAGCCCAGAATTTAAAACTGAGGAAGAAACAGAGGTGAACTCCCTTGTGGGGGAAGTGAGATGCAGCTCTGAGTATTGATATTTCAGACAACTTTGGAAAAAATGGGGCCAAAAGCCCCATCTGGGTTGGGAATTGCATGCCCCAATTCCAAAATTTGGCTTATCTGGCTGAGTTGTGCCTGAAGATCACAAGCATGTATCCAAATTACATACCAATAAGGGTTTAAAAGGTGGCTCCACCTTCCGAGCTAGCAGTTCTTCCCAACTGATGTGTCTGAAGAAGGGATGACCCTAAAAACAACAACAGGGATTATCAGTCAGTGTCCAATCAAAGAGAGCATAACATGCCAAATGAGAGGTGGTCCTTGGTTTTGACCAGAATAGAAACTGAAGCACACAGGTCTACCAGCGCTCATTCAGAATAGGAACTGTGTCACAGCGTTTGCAGCGTGACTACAGTTAGGAGACAACCCAGGAGCAAAACACAGCACACAGAGACTTAGACATTTAACAGTGGTTTATATACAAGACATATACAGAAAAATACATGGTAGGCAAATACCTGACAAGCAATCAATCTTCTTCTTAACTCTACACGGAGAACTCTGCAATGAATACCAGACACGAGGAGAGAGAATACGCCCTCTCCTGGCTGACTTATATAAACACCTCTTAAAGTGGTAAAAACTTTTGTGGACCTCTTTCTAGTCTACAACCAGCAATACCAATGCTGATTCATCTTCATTGCATCAGCCTTACAGTGCATCAGCTTTACAGTTGCATCAGCTTTACAGCTGGTCAGCTCTTAAATCTCAATACCTTAACAAACTGGAAGAGAGAGAGCATCAAATAAAAACTGGGCAAAGTGATAGTTGTTCCATAAAATGAACTAAGGCTGTGTTTTTCAACCTCGGCAACCCCTTTCAGATGTGTGAACTTCAATTCCCAGCATGGCTGGCTGGGGAATTCTGGGAGTTGAAGTCCACACATCTGAAAAGGGTTGCTGAGATTGAGAAACACTGATCTAAAATGTTGCTTCAAAAATGCTTATTTAGAAGTGGTAGGACAGTGGTAGCGACATGCCATGATGTTTTAGTTGACACGTCTGCGTTCACCAACGTATTTGACATTTGGGACCAGACCAATTGGCATGCTTTCTACCCATTTCTCAGCCATCCTCCTGCAAGGAAAGGCAAGAGAGAACAGCTTTGCAGTTTCCCAATTTTTTAAAACAATTATATCAGCTGGAGTTGCAAAGCAGTACGGCTTGACATCTCTCAAACCCTTGCTTACATCCAAGACAATCTAGCTCACAAAGCAATCCTTTATGAAAATTATTTTACTGGTCGGAAGAGAAGGGAGGACATTTTCCAGCAAAATCACAAAACTGCATACCTGAACTTCTCCAGCGTCTCCAGGACCAGCTCCTAGACGAGAGGCAGCATTTCTCTTTAGCAGCTGAAGAGAGGAAATAGATGTTTAAAACCTAATGGACTTGTGGTACTGCTATATTGCTTAGTAACAGAAAATTTGGACTTAATCGTGGTCGTAAGTCTAGGACTACCTGTAACTGGGCTCAGAAGCTACAGAAGAGTAGCAAATTCGAAAAATTGCTATGAATTTATACTCGAGCCAATGTCTGGGATTACCCTGTAAGAGTCTCACCTTTTTAAGCAGATCTCTGGCTTCTTGTGTGAGGTAGGGAGGCAAATTGAGTTTACACTTGAGAATTTTATCAATCGTTTTCTTTCGGTTCTCCCCAGTAAAAGGGGGCTGAAAGAGAGAGGAGGAAAGAGAAGCTGTGAGAAAAATGCACCACGTCATATAACGTCCGCTATCAAAACAAAATTCTGCTTGTGCTTCCTTTTAAGGTGGTCTGTAAAACCGGCTTTTAAGCAGGTCTGTAAAAACTGATTTCCAAACCTGGCTATTATAAAGTGGGCTTGATGTACAACCAGGGCTGTCTAAGAAATCAAAATACCATGGTGTTTTTTCAAACGGCAACTGGACTTTCTTAATTTTTCGTTGAAGACATTTCACTTCTCATGCAAGCAGCTTTATCAGTTCTGGCAGAATGTTTGGGGGGGGGGAGATGGAAGGTTTAGTTCTGCCCATTCTTCCATCTCCCCCACCATCCTTCCAGAACTGATGAAGCTTCTTGAATGAGAAGCAAAATGTCTTCAAGGAGCCTTGGTAGTATAGTGGTCTAAAGCACCCTGTTATTAAGACCAGCTGCCTGCAATTACTGCAGGTTCGAATCTCGCCAAGGCTCAAGGTTGACTCAGCCTTCCATCCTTTCTAAGGTAGGTAAATTGAGGACCCAGTTGTGGGGGCAATAAGCTGACTTTGTATAAATATACAAAAGAATGAAGGCTATTGCTTAGCGCATTGTAAGCCGCCCTGAGTCTCCGGAGAAGGGCGGCATATAAATCTAATTAAAAAAAGAAAAGAAAAGAAAAAAGAAAGTCCGGTTACCTTTTGAAAAAGCACCTTTTTCAAACCATGACACTGATGAACTGAAAATCTCCAGACATGGATGCGCGTGATCACATGAGAAGTGGCAGATTTGATCACAGTCACAAGGATTATCTTGACTTTTTGATACGCATACATTGGACACATTGACTACGTCAGCAGTAAGCGCATAAGGAATCAGTACCATTCCTGGATTGCAAACCCAATAGGAAAAGTGCCAAATTCAGGGATTCAATTTCCAAGCTTGCTGCAACCCCAAAGTTCGCATGATTCGGGTGAGAAATTTAGCCCAGCCAATGGAAAGAAACTTCCCTCCCAACAAACATGCTGTGAACATCGGTAAGTATTATGAATCAACATAAATGGAACTGCTATGTCATTCCAAGAAGCAGAGTGAAATACAGGTAGTCCTTGACTTATGATTGGTTATTTAATGAGCATTCAAAGTTATGATGGACTTAAAAAAATAGCTATCTTTGTATTTGTATTTGTATTTATTAAATTTTTATATCGCCCTTCTCCTGAAGGACTCAGGGCGGTGTACAGCCATATTAAAACAACATATACCCACAAAATTTAAAAAGTTTAAAATATATTAAAAATTTGGCCCTTATATTAAAAACTACACACACCCAATTACTTAAAATTCATTTTCTAGGCCAGCTAGAAACACACAAACACACCCCATGACATGATTGCATTTCAGGGCATGGCGAACCAGCTCACATTTATGACTGGTTGGAGTATCCCAGGGTCTGTGACCTTGATCTGTTTTGCCAGTTTTTGACCAAAAAAACAAAACAAAACAAAAAAACCTCCAACCATTTGGATGAAAGGATTCACTAAAGACCATGTGATTTGCTTACTGATTGCAGTGACTTGTTTTACTGCCATCATAAAAAATAGTCTTAAAATAGAATCTGGTCACGTGGTGCCTCGACTTAGGACGCAATGACTTATAATCTATATTCCAGGCTCCACTGCAGTTGTAAGTCAAGGACTACCTGTACAGGCAGGTTCACCATCGTTTTCTGAATAAAACAGACTATAAATGAGATTTCTTTCAAAACCAGGAAATCTAACCGCAGATGCTTAGCAATAGGCAGGTTAAAAAAACCCACATGGCAAATTCTTTAAAGGCAGGGAGCGTGTTCCAAAACAACAAACAAAACATGCAGCTTGTAAGTGTGCACCTACTGCTCCAGTCAGCATGTCATACATTAGTGCCCCCAAACTCCACCAGTCCACGGCACGGTTGTGCCCACTCCTCATCAGAATTTCAGGGGCCCTAAAAAGACATCAAACGCAAATAGCAAGGATCAGCACAGCAGAGCACAGCATCAGTTACAATTAAAGACCCTGTGGACAGCACCAACAGCACCAGCTGTGAGAGTCGTAAGTCAGTCGAGTAGTTTCGGTTACAGCCGCTCACCTGTGGGGAATAACCATTGCTTCTAGGTGACTAGCTTTGCCAACTTGCTATACGTACTGTAAGACTCATGGGTAGCATCAGCTTCTTATAAAACCGGGATGGGGAACGATGGCCCCTTTATGACTTGTGGACTTCAACTCCCAGAATTCCTGAACCAGCCATAATTCCTGAGTCCACAAGTCATAAAGGGGCCACGGTTCCAACTCATGTCTGTTGTTAGTGTGAAAAGGTTAAAAGGTTAAAAACCAGATGCAAAGGTACAGCATAAGGCAGTACCCGGCTCAACAGTAGTGCCTGTGTTTCTGAAGGGGATCTAGGTGTCCTGGTGGACCATCACTTAAATTATGAGCCAGCAAGTGTGCTGCAGCTGTCCAAAAAACCAATGCAATCCTAGGCTGCATCAACAAACGGATAGAATCAAGATCATGAGAAGTTATAGACTGTACTAGTGAGGCCACATTTGAAATACTGCACACAGTTCTGGTCACCACAAAAAAAAAAAAAAAAAAAAAAGATGCCAAAGCCCTAGAAAAAGTGCTTATGGCTTAGGACCGGGGTACCTACGAGACCGCCTTCTGCCACCAGTAGCCTCTCACCGACCAGTACGCTCCCATAGAGAGGGTCTTCTCAGGGTGCCGTTGATCAAACAATGTTGACTGGCGGCCCCCAGGGGGAAAGCCTTCTCTGTGGGGGCACCTGCCATCTGGAACGAGCTCCCCCCGGAGATACAGAGGATCCCGGATTTGCACACTTTCCGCTGTGCCCTCAAAATATTCTTATTCCAGCAGGCTGGTCTGGCCTAACCTCCCTTTTAATTGCTCTTAAATTTGTTTTATAAATTGGGGTGTTTTAAATTTGTTTTGGGCCAAAGTATTTAATGTATTTTTAAATGGTTTTTTAACGTTTGTACTATGTGTATTTTATCTTTTGGCTGTTCACCGCCCTGAGTCCTTCGGGAGTAGGGTAGTATATAAATTTAATTAATTAATTAATTAATAACAACAACAACATCATCATCATCATCAACTTCAAAACAGACCTGGCCCACCGCAGCCATTTTTCTGTTTCTCAGTTGCCACACAATATGGGAAAGGGTGGTGGTGGATAGGAATGCCAGACCAGACAATAACACACTATCATCCCGTGGGAACCAAGGTCATCTCCACAGGTGCCGAAGAGGAGTGACCAAGTAACCTGCTAATTGGACAATATGACCTGTGACACCCGGGGGAGGGAATTGTGTACTCTTTTAATTAAACCAAAACTGCAGAAAACAGAGCTGGTTTTGCTTTTATTTGTGCCGATATGATGTACCCAATAAAGAAGTTCTTTGAGAAGGATTCCAGTCTCAAAGAGTTCGGAATTGGTTGGGTTCGTTAGTCAGAACCATGACATTAAACCAACTCCAATTCTTTAGCAACAGATAAGCAGTTTGGAGCAGGGTCCTTAGCAACTTTAAGACTTGTGGACTTCCAACTCCCAGAAGTTGCCAAGGTTGGAGACCCCTGGTCTGGAGGGTAAATCTAAGGAACATCTAAGGAAACTAGGTACGTCTAGCCTATCAAAGAGAAGGAGGGGGGACGGGACATGGTAACTGTCTTCCACTACTTAAGGGGCTTTCACAGAGAAGAGGGGATTGACTTATTGTCCAAAGCACCTGAGGATAGGACAAGAAGCAATGGGTGGAAGCTTGCCGGAGGAAAATCCAACCTGGAACTAAGGAGGAATTTCCTGACAGTGAGAACGATTAATCAATGGAACAGTCGCCTCCCGAAGCACTGGGTGCCTCCATCACTGGTGGTTTTCAAGAAAATATTCCATCTGTCCAAGATGGAATATGGTCACTGCTTTGGACAAGCGATTGGACTAGAATACCTCCAAGGCCTCTTCCAGCCCTCTGATTCTATGAACTTTATTCAAGATATTCTGCAGCAATGGTTCATCTCAGTGACATCAACTCCTCAGTAAGATGATTTTTCAAATGAGTGATTTAGAGTCACCAGATAGCTGCATGTGCTTATAATGTGATACGACGTATGTGTTTTCATGGGAAGGATCTGTTTCATAGCATGGCATAATCACATGCCAAATTAAACAGCATCTTGCTTCGCAGATACAGGAAGCCTTGACCTATGACCGTAACAGTTGTGATGGCCATAAATTGGGTCAATAATTTGAGTTGACTATATTTTCCATTTTTTATGGCAATACGCAAGCCCAGTGGTCATAAAACAAGCCCAGTTTTTAATATGACAGAGTTTTGCTGAACACCGGAAGCAATTTCTGGTTTTCGGCAAAATCACCATAAAATACAATTACATGACTGCAGGATGCTGCAAACCACCATAAATGCAGCTGTGTTGCTGAGCATCCAAAAATGGTCATGTGACCGTGTATGTCTGAGAGGGGGTGGGAAGGGGAGAATGTAAACCATTGGAATTTCTGAACTGGGTCATTAACACCTTTTACCAGGTAAGCTGTAACTCTGAACGCTCGCGAAGCTGCCAGTTGTAAATTGAGGCTCACGTGTACCAAAATGTGCTCTCTCTTTCAATTGACAGTGCATATAAAACATGACGCTTGTTGTGACACTGATGAGATCTGAGTGGTATATGTTTAGTGACACCACTTTGTTCTCCAAAATTCAGGATGCCGATCAAGAGACAAGCTTCCAAATTTTAAAAGTCAGTCATCCTATCAAAACCAGCATCGTCTCAAAAGCATCAAGCAGCGTGACTCCAGTAAGTAAGAGTGCTAAATCCTATTTCAAGCCCACTATTCAGCATGAAAAAGCACTAAGTGACTCTAACCTGGTCTTTCCTCTCCCTCTCTCTGTGCTAGGCCTACCCCTCCTGAGTCACCCAGTGCTCCACTTTAAAAAAATTCTGTATATTTGTTTAATGATTCACTGGGGAGAATAGAGATGGGGAGGGTCGTTAGGTTTGACACTTCACTTAACGACTGGTGACCTGCAACCAAAATGGGCAGGCTCCGTTACTGTCCTAAGTCGAGTACTACCTTTAAGTCATATGCGGTCTTAATCTCCTAAATATAAATCCAAATAGCTAAATAAAAAAATAAAGGATCCTGTAGGAACTTATAAAAAGGTAAAGGTTTTTTTTGAGAGAAAAAACAACGAATTAAATTGACCAGAGTCCTGTTTGCTAAAAAAAAAATAAGTCAGTTTCATCAGCCTGGTGACTTGGTCATTTCGGCTGGAGATTACAGTAATTTAGATCCAACACATCTGAAGGACACTAAATTGAAAGAGATCTTTTTCCTCTTCTCAAGAAATCCTGGAGGAAGAGTGTGAGTGAGTGAGTGAGTGAGTGAGTGAGTGAGTGAGTGTGTGTGTGTGTGTGTGTGTCCCCTCTCCTAATTTAAACTGAAAACATTCATTCATGGTTTGTTTTGACCACTAGGCAGGTTGATCTGACAGGGGGAGGGGGAATAAATACTTCTCCTTGAGCACGATTTTTCTATCGTTATCAGCTGGACTCACATGTATTCTATTGTTCCACAGAACGTATGTGTGACTGTTCCATCATGAATCGATTCTTTACACAGTCCAAAATCAGTCAGTTTAACGTGACCTGGAAAAAAAAGAAACAAAAAAGAAGAAAAATAAAGAAGTGAGAGAACCACAGAAAGCTAATATATATCATATTTTTCGGGGTATAAGATGCATTTTTTTCCTCCCTAAGAGGGTGAAAATTTGGGTGCATCTTATACACTGAATGTAGCCCCGCCCACCCATCAGCCTCCACCCTTTGGCCTCTGCCTCCTAGCAATTTGCCTCCTCGCAGCAAACAGCATATAGCCTGTTTCAGTTTCAGCACAGCCTGATTAGCACAAGCAGCTGATGGTAGGTTGGATTGGCCTCCCGACCATCAGCTGTTTCAGGCTCCATGGATTGCCATTGCCTATTGCCGCCTCCGCACACCCCATTTTCGGCCTCCACACGCCCCATTTTCCACTCATTCCAATCCCTGCCACCTGGAACAAGCGGAAAATAGGGCGCACAGAGGCTAAAAACAGGGTGTGCGGGGCCTGAAAACTGGATGTGGAGGCCGAAAATGGGGCGTGTGGAGGCAGCAATAGGCAATGGCAATCCCTGCAGCCTGAAACAGCTGATGGTCGGGAGGCTGAACCAACTGACAATCAGCTGTTTGTGCTAATCAGGTGGTGCTGAAATTGAAACAGGCTGTTTGCTGCAAGGAGGCAAATTGCTGAGAGGCAGAGGCAGATTTTTTTTTACTTGTTTTCCTCCCCAAAAGCTAGTTGCGTCTTATACTCCAAAAAATACGGTAGTTAAAATACATTTTTGACACACAAACAGTAACATATACAAAATGCCTACGACCAGGAAATTGCTTGGCTTTCTAAAACTTGACAGGAGTGTAACCTAGCAAGTATCTCGAGGACAAATATCCTGCAAAATAGGGGGCCACCCCTGAAAAGACCTGCTACAAGCAGGCCACGCTCTGTGTCTTCTTTCACTTCCTGTTTCTTTTAGGCAGTTAAAATACAGGTAGTCCTCGACTTACAATCGTAATGGAGTCTGCACATGATGCTTGTTAAGCGAAGTGCCCACATGATCATTGTTCAATGTTTTTTTTTTTTTACTGTTTTTAATACTTCTGTTTTTATTGTGTTTTTTTTTCCAAATTACATTTTAATTGTAATATATGTTTTGAATTGTGAGCTGCTCAGAGTCATTTGCTGAGATGGGCAGCTATAGAAATCCAATCCAATCCAATCCAAATTCAATCAAAAACACCTCGCTTAAACACCCTAATCCGTTTAAATTTAAACATTAAATTTAATGTTTAACGACCATAATAGGGAGAATAACTCTATTATGGTCGTTAAACGTTAAATGGTCAATAAGCAAAGCATGGGTAGCTCAGAGGTGGGGAGGACCTGGGAAACGTAGTGAGGAGGGTGGGGAGGTTCAAACAAGCTATGTGGGAAGCAGATCCAAGGCCTGTTAGGACTTAATGGCATGAGAAAGCAAGCAAGAGTCCCTTGAGAGTTGGGTGGCATAGAAATGTGACTAAATAAATAAATAAATAAGGAGTGGATGCATGGTGTGTGTGTGTGTGTGTGTGTGTGTGTGTGTGTGTGTGTGTGTGTGTGCTACGATCAGTTGTCAAGGTGGAGATTGCTAAGCGCCCAAATTTTGTTCATGTGATGGGGGGTGGGGGCGAGTGCTGCAGTGGCCATAATTTCAGGCAGGGATTCTATGTCCCTTCAGCTGGCTGGCTGGGGAATTTTGGAAGTTGAAGTCTATAAGTCTCATAGTTGCCATGGTTGGAGACCCCGCTTTACACCCTTTGGAAATGCAGAAAACTGCAATCCCAACTGATGTGTTGGATCTCAGGCGGGGAAATCTATTCTACTGAATCATACCAGGATTCCAATAATTCTGAGAAACGGTTGAAAAAAAAAAACTAAAAGAGGCTTGGTCACTGTCTTTCTAACCTTGGTGATTCAGCATGATGTTTTCTGGCTTTAAGTCACGGTAGATGATGCCTTTCTGATGCAGGTGTCCCAAAGCCATTGAAATTTCAGCCAAGTAGAAACTGCAATGCAAAAAACCCGATTAGGAAAGAAACCCAGGGGACTATGCATCACGTATGGCTTTAATATGTCAATCTCAAGCAGCAATCATATAAATTAGATTAAGAAATAAATTGAGGGAAAAAACAAAGCAGTGCAAAACTTCAGATGTGGCACGACGAGAGGACTCAGCTTCCAAGTTTAATAGTTGTTTGTCTGGCTTAGTTTTATCCTCACTCACTATTCCAAGCTCCTAGAGGCTGGGTTTCCCCATCCACGCTTTGGGGGCAATAGCCCCAAAGGAAAAAGGGTAACCATAATTTTAGTCATGAAACTACATGGGTAAATCACAGTCCATAATTCCACTTCAAGGTACAGGTAGTCCTCAACTTACAACCACAATTGGGATCGGAATTTCCGTTGCTAAATGAGGTGAGTTTTTTAAGCGAGTCATGCCCAGTTCTATTTTTGCCACGGTTGTTAAGCGAATCGCTTAGAGTTAAGGGAATCACACATTCATTAAACGAATCCAATTTCCCCCGCTGACCCTGCTTGTGGAAAGTTGGCTGCAAAGAATCGTAAATGGAATGCGACCCTGGGATGCGGCAACTGTCGTAAAGTAAATAAATGCTGGTTGCCAAGTGCCGGAATTTTAATCACGTGACCGTGGGGATGCTGTGTTGGTTGTCACAGTCTGAGGAATGTAAGTCAAGGATTGCCTGTATTGTTTTTAATGCTTCCCTCATGGCCATTGCAGCCCCTCAGTTTATTGTCTCAACAGAGCCTGAAATTCAGTTCCTCTGAAAGCGACTTTTCATTCTGGCTGAAGGAATAGAAAACAGAATGGCAGAAAGAATGGGGGGAAAAAAATTCAAAGCTGCACAACCCTCCTGCTCCACCCAAGCTTCCTTCTTCACAAGCAAGGGCAATGACAGTTTTTCAACCTCCCATGTGGCACAATTCTCTGTGCGCAACATTGCTAAACAAGATGGACGTCCATCTTCCATTAAGATGGTCATTCTTGTTCAGTTTATTAAGACACACAAAATGAAGTATAACTGGTGTTCTTTCACCTCCACCTTGGAATAAGAATCAATCTATAGGTAGCAGTATGGAGTGGTGTGGTGGCCTAGAGGTGGAGTCCTTGCCTCACAATCAGGAGGCTGTGAGTTCGATCCTACATAGAGGCAGGTATTTCTCTCTCTGGGCACGATGACAATGTATCTGCTGAACGAATCTTAGCATTGGTGACAGGAAGGGCATCCAGCCAGTAAAACACTGCTAGCTCCATTCAGTCGCTCAGACTCCACCCCGCAAGGGATTATGGGGTTGTTAAACAATGATGATGATATAGGTAGTACTCAACTTACAACTGTAATAAATTGTGGTCATTAAGCCGGTGATCTTGTGACACGCCCAATCTTATGAACTTTTTTTGCAGCAGTTTAAGTCAACAGTTCAGTCACTAAGTGATCCCTTTGTAGACTACGGGCATTTTTCACCAGAAACTGGAATTAAACAGCAGTTTGTGGCAAAAAATGGCATTAATTAGAGAAGTATGTCTGCAGGATGCTGCAAATAAATAAATAAATAAAAAGCCTTAAATTTGATCTGTTGCTGAGCACCCAAAATGCAATCATGTGATTGCACAGGGTGGGTGAGGTGACCATCAGAACTCTGGATTTTAAGTACATCGTAACTTCGAATGGTCACTAAGCAGCCAGTCATAAATCGAGGATTACCTGTTGTCCAGGCTTTCTTTCCTCCTTCAGCTCAGCTCTTAATTTGACAGAGGACGGGAGCCATTTTAACTGGCCAATAAAGAGTTCCAATCAACAGTAGATGCTGTTGATTGTAGCAATGAGACTCCCATGTTCTCTTTAATGGCATTTCCTTCTTCTAAGGAGCCAGAGAAATTCATGGGTGGGACCCACAGCCCCAAAATCACATTCCTTCTTTAGAAACGTTAGAACGTTAGAAACATCCAACCTGTTAATCATTGGTCAAACACTGGGACAGCCCAAAGGACAGACTTCAGCCATATCCGATTTTTTTCCCCATGATGAAAACCGCAAGATCAACAGACAGATGAAACGTTAAGCCCCCTCAAATTTGTTTTTAGCACAAAACTGAATGAAGCTGCTGGAATGCAATATCTTATTTAATTCTGGGTAATATATGCAGCCTTTACGTATTGGTCAGAATCTCTCTGCATCTGCCTTTAGCAAACTTCTGTACAGAGGTTTGTTTCAAGAGGAGCTATTTTAGTTCCACTGTGGCTTTATGGCTATATTTAGTGGTATTTATATAACCATTTAAATGAAACACAGTATCTACATTTACTTTCATATTTGTGACATATCATAAGATCAGCCTTCAGGCACACCCAGGCATAGTTCAGTATCCAGCTCCCCAAATGCCTTCTCTTTGAAACATGGGAAGTGAAAATGCAGCTCAGCAGGGAAGCTGTGAAATGCCACCCCAATTCTGCCCCACAACTGGCTTCATATGTTCTTCATTCAGCTCTTGCCTGAAGTCTACCCTGCTGGAGTTGAAGAATCTTTCGGTCACTTACCAAGCGGTGTCTTCCATAAATATCCCCTCTCGTTCCAGCTGCATGAAGAGTTCTCCTCCTAAAATCAAAATGTGAGAAAAGCCCAGTAAAAATTCGGCTCCATCACTAGGAAAGTAGTATGAGACAGATGACACCAGACAAGAGGGATGCAGATGGACGCGTGGCAGAAAGCTAGTTGCCCTATTTCCAAGTCCATGTGGGCATTCTAGATAACTTGTCCTTTGGTTTGGAGAACTGACCACACTCGGGCAAGATTCACAAACTGCCTTGTACTTTATTTATTTGTTTATTTGTAAAAATTATTGGCCACTCATCCTATCTCAGGGTAACTCTGGCTTACAATCATAAAACATAAAAACTGTACAGCTAAAAACAACAACATAAGACATTAGACAAAGCCAAATGATAGCAGTGTTCCAATATCTCAGAGGTTGCCACAAAGAAGAAGGAGTCAAACTATTCTCCAAAGCACCTGAGGGTAGAACAAGAAGCAATGGATGGAAACTAATCAAGGAGAGAAGCAACCTAGAACAGTGAAAACAATTAATCAGTGGAATGACTTGCCTCCAGAAGTTGTGAATTTATTTATTTATTTATCAATTTTTTATATTCTCCAACACTGGAAGTTTTTAAGAGGAGATTGGATAACCATTTGTCTTAAATGGTATAGGCCTATAAAGTTTTCTGCCTGAGTAGGGGGTTGGACTAGAAGACCTCCAAGGTCCCTTCCAACTCTGTTATTCTAATCTAAATATTGCAGCCTAATTCAAAGATGGTAATTGGCAGAGCCAGATCTTTAGGCTTTCATAGAAGGTCCGGATGGTTGGAGCTGACCTCATTCTGGAGCAGGGGTCTCCAACCTTGGCAACTTTAAGACTTGTGGACTTCAGCTCCCAGAATTCCTCAGCCAGCTGGCTGAAGAATTCTGGGAGCTGAAGTCCATAAGTCTTAAAGTTGCCAAGGTTGGAGACCCCTGCTCTGGAGGTCAAGATGTTCTGGAGGGCAATGGCAATGGCAGAGAAGATCTTTCTCCTGGACCCCATCAGCCAGGCCTGTGCCATGCCTCCTTTGCCAGCATGGGTGGCAATCCCAGTGGATGAGACAGTCCCTCAAGTAGCCTGCACCCATGCCATGAACGGACATTGGGTCCATTGGACAGCTATGTATAGTACAGGTAGTCCTCAACTTATGACCACAATTGAGCCCAAAATTTCTGTTGCTAAGCGAGACATTTGTTAAGTGGGTTTTGCCTCATTTTACGACCTTTCTTATCAGTTTTATGAGGGAAATGTAAGCAATGAAATGGATCCCACTCTGTTGGTGAACTCGAAATCCACATTTTGATTCTCCACTCACACTTACCGCTGAGATACTCGAGGATGAGGTAGAGTTTCCCACCAGTCTGAAAGGCATAAATCAAGTCGACGATAAACGGATGCTTGACTTCCTCCAAGATATTCCGCTCGGCTTTGGTGTGAGCGGTGTCTTTTGCGTTTCTCACAATCATTGCCTAAAGAAGATGAAACAATCATAGTATTCGTATTCTAAAAGACAGGTAGAAGGAATCATGTGGAGGCAGAGTTAAGAGGGACCAGAATCCCTGTAGCCACAAGTAGACTAAGTCAAACCTCCCTTGAATTCCATTGACCCTTGTCTAACTCCAAGCACCGTTAGTTGAGAAGATTCTTGTGCATAGGTATTTAGCAATAAATCAATTTAATTGGACTTTCACATGTGGACCTGATCTTTCCTGCTTGACAAAAATACAGTATAATTATATCAGAAGTCTGCTACATATGTGACCATACCCCAAACTGGAGCCACTGATAGCAATAGCACTTAAGACTTATATACTGCTTTACAGTGCATTACAGCTGTCTCTAAGCGGTTTACAGAGTCAGCATATAAACTCCGCTGAAGATGTTACCTAGCCTGGTAATGAAACGTTTGGAAACCAACCCACAAGCTCGGAGAACGAACCTTTACCCTCAGCCTATTGCCCCCAACAATCTGGGTCCACATTTTACTGACCTTGGAAGGACGGAAGGCTGAGTCAACCTTGAGCCTGGTGAGATTCGAACTGCCAAATTGCAGGCAGCCAGCAGTCAACAGAAGTAGCCTGCAGTACTGCATTCTAACCACTGCGCCACCACACTACCGAAGTTTGCAAAACGTATTAGACGCCATGGAATAATTCATCCCCAAAAGCCAAATTGTGTTTTCTTCCTTATCTGTTACAATTCCTAATTTTGAGGAAGGTAAAGCTATCCTCGCCTCAAAACCTGTAGACCCAGGTAAGTGTAAATATAATGCGTGTTTGTAAAACAGGCAGCTATGATTTGAAGCGAGCTTTCTAATGCTTCTTTGGGTAAGCCAGGGTTTGTTCAATTTAAAGGTCAAGTATGGTTTGCTGTGAACAAGGAAAGGACTGGAGTGTGTAAAGTTGCTGCATGTTGTACCACTTGAAGCTTCTGAACAGATTTCAAGAACAGCCCTAAGTCGAAGGTGGTGCAATAGTCCGATCGCAAGGCGATCAAGACATGAGCAGCTGTAGTTAAGAGTAGAAAAAGGATAAAGCATGCTGCCTGGGGAATTCTGGGAGTTGAAGTCCAGGTATGAGATGCTGACCTAGATTCTTCTACTTTAATTCCGATTCTTGATTTAAAGAAGAGATTAGACATTATAAACTCTAAATAGCCTCTTTAAATTATTTGGGTTGGTTTTCACAACCCACACAACTTCGGGGTCCAAAGTCATCAAGTATAAACCATCCAATGGCTTGTAATGATGGTCTGTGGTTCACACACGATATAAGAGTCAGTTTCATGCAATTCAATAAACTTCAAACCACCAAACCCACTTGAACTAAGAGTAGTTTCTCAGGCCTTCTCTTCCTTACCTCATTCTTCTTCCTCCCTTTTTTCAAAAGAGGTTATAGATCACAGGGGGATATAATTTAACCCTTTGTTAAGTGTATGTTCAGCTATAATATATTCAGAGTCATTTAGGTTTCAATGGACTGGATGACATTTCAAAATGAGAAGCATAGGTCCTGCTGCTAGCTGTTCTACTATCTTACAAGGAGCAATAACAGCAATGCCTCTTAAAAATATCTGTATGCACCAACTAAACAAAAGTTCAAGAATTTTAAGTACGTAATAACAGATGAAAAACTTTACAAACAAGTAAAAATTAATTCTCCAGTTACTGCTAATATCTGAAGTCAGTAGACAGAAACACAGGGCTGGTTGAATAAAACTTCTTTATTTCAGTTCGGATGACAGATAGTCCTCAACCTATGACCATAATTGAGCCCAAAATTTCTGTTGCTAAGCAAGACAATTATGTTAATTTTGCCCCATTTTATGACCTTTTTTGCCTCAATTATTACGTTAGGAACACGGTTGTTAAGTGAATCTGTCTTCCCCATTGACTTTGCTTGTCAGAAGGTCACAAAAAGGGATCCCATGACCCCAGGACACTGCAAACACTATAAATACATTGTTGTTGTTAGTTGCGAAGTTGTGTCCGACCCATTGTGACCCCATGGACAACATTCTTCCAGGCTTTCCTAACCTCTACCATCCTCTGGAGTTCATTTAAGTTCATGCCTAGTGCTTTAGTGACTCCATCCAGCCACCTCGTTCTCTGATGTCCCCTTCTTCTCCTTTTGCCCTCAATTGTTCCCAGCATTTGGCTCTTCTCCAGTGAGTCCTTCCTTCTCATTAGGGGGCCAAAGTATTTGTGTTTCCTCTTCAGGATCTGGCCTTCTCAAGAGCAGTCAGGGTTGATCTCCTCTAGGACTGACCGGTTGGATTGCCTTGCAGTCCAAGGGACTTGCAGGAGTCTTCTCCAGCACCAGAGTTCAAAGGCCCCAATTCTTTGTTGCTCAGCCTTCCTTATAGTCCAACTTTCCATAAATACATGCCAGTTGTCAAATGGGGGCAATTTTGATCACATGACCACAGGCATACTGCAACAGTGATAAGTGTGAGAAACTGTTCTAAGTCTGTTTTTCAGTGCCATTGTAATTTTGAATGGTCACTAAACGAATGGTTGTAAGTTGAGGACTACTTGTATTTCTTAATAAATTTACATTCTCCTAGCAATGATTTACTGGAGTCTCAGCAAGATCCTCTTAATGGTGCTTGGATTCAAGATCTGCAGCAAGATCTCGTTCTGCATTCACCCCACACAAAGTTCTCTATCCTTCTACAGTTGGATAATCAAAACCATCTCACCTTTTTCAGCACCTTCATGGCAAAAATTTTGCTCGTGTTTGCCCCCGTTACTTTGCGAACTTGGAAAACCTGCCAACACATTTTAAAAAGAAGCAATATTACTTTTCCCCCCCCAAAAAAACAAAAACAAAAAAAGATTCCCAGTAACTGCAATATCTGGCATTTTTGAGGCTTCCTTTAATTCAGTGAGTAACGAGAGATCAGGATTCACTACCTGAATGAAACTAAGCAAGCCACAGATAGCACAACCCAGTCTTCCTGTAAGCTTGGGCTTGCACCATTCAGCAAGTTGCAAGTACAAGCTATCGCTCTGAAATAATAAAATATCAATAGAGTCCATTTATAAGTGGTCTTTTAATAACGAGGCTCAGAGCACCTAATGGCAAATATTGTTTGAAATAAAGAAACCCCACTTCGAACTTTTGAAAACATCATGAAAACAGGGAGGTTAGGATAAGCATATACAGATGCCATCAATCAAGCACATATTATGAAATCAACAGGGCAAAAGTCACCCTCCTAACCCCTGCTCCGAGTTCAACTGTGTTTTTGTTTTTATCTTCTAAGTTACCCAAGGAACCTTTGCCATAAAGCAGTGTATAAACAAGCCAGAAAAAATACAGAAGAGATTGCTACAAGGTGCATGGCCATAAACTACAAATGATTTATAGAAAACCTATTGGCGCAGCTCAGTCTGGCTGGCTGGGGAATTCTGAGTATTGAAGTCCACTGTTCAGAAACACTGATCTACACAGTTAAACAGGGAACCTTTCAGGCCCTATTTTGAGATTCTCAGGATTGAATCTTTTTCTGCATATACAGGCTATGTTTGACCTTTGAGCTATAGTCCCTGCCTGGCAAATAAAAATTCCAGTCCTTATGATCTGATTAAACAACTGAGACAGAAATATGTAACCATTTTGCTCATTGCACCAGGTGGGAACATTCCCTGGTTCCCATTCCCTTCATTCCAGAAAATGCTTAAGTTTCGTGTTTTATTTATTAAACAAATTTATACAGCCGCCTAACCTACATGCGGTGATTTATATTTGAAACATGAATTTTGTAATAAATAAATTAATATTCAGAAGGAAAAGATGTGAGATTCTCCACCTCGCCAGAAGGCTCCTTACCTTTCCGTAGCCCCCTTTGCCAAGAACACGGAGCAGCTCAAAGCACTCTGGCCGGATCTTCTCAGGACCTCGGTTTACGCTCGTTTCCGAAATCTCGAATTTCTCACAATGTTCCATGCCGCTAAAAGAGAACCAACAATTTTCATTTTTAAAAATAAGGCTAGCAAGGCAACCCTACCTCCAACTGACGGGAGCCAGAATGGCTCTCTCTGCTGTACCGCCAGCCCTTTGGAACATCTTGTCTCCCCCACCCTCTTGTCCTCCACCAAGAGCCGTGGTGGCGCAGTGGTTAGAATGCAGTATAGCAGGTAAACTCACTGCTTACTCCAGGAGTTCGATCCTAACCGGCTCAAGGTTGACTCAGCCTTCCACCCTTCCAAGGTTGTTGGGGGCAATATGCTGACTCTGTAAACCACTTAGAGAGGGCTGTGAAGCTGACTCTGTAAACCGCTTAGTGTAAAGCACTATGAAGCGGTTTATCTGGACCCTTTAGGGGAGTATCACATTGGAGGTGGCTACTGGAGTAACGAGCTGACCCCAGCTCCCCACTGTATTTTTTGCTCCCCCTCCACCATTTTTAATTTTATATTATTTTTCTTGTCTCTGGAGATTCTCAGTCATCCAGTCATGGTTGTCCCAACGGTGCTTTTCCAAAAGGCAATTGGACTTTCTTGGTCTTTCCTTGAAGACGTTCCCCTTCTCATCCAAGAACAATGTGACCACATTCTGAACACAATTTGAAATAGGGGTCAAAGACTGAACATTAAGACTGAACAGCCTGCTCTCAAAAGAGTGGGAGGCATAGGACATCACCTACCATGTTTCCCCAAAAATAAGACCCAATCGAAATATAAATCCTAGCATGATTTTTCCAGATGCTCACAATATAAGTATCTCCTGTTTACAACACAGTCCTTTCAGCAGTTCCAAGAAGGTTCCACACCCATTTGCACTATTGAGATGGCCCTGAGGGCACAGACAAACCTTTGTGGCCTCAATGGCTCTCAGAAAGAGGACTAACCACCAGATGACTGCAAGGAATATAAATCCTTCCATACTCACCATTCAGTCAGAACTGAAGCAGCTTTTTGGATGAGAAGTGAAATGTCTTCAAGGAAAAAAATAAAGCCCAGATGCCTTTTGAAAAAGCACCCTTGGGATAATATTGTACTTCCACTGTTTATTTTTATTGTTTTATTCCTTTGCTATTGTTATATTTACACTTATCATTTTTTCCCTTTTATGATTGTAAGCCTAGAGTAGCTCCATGGCAAGATGGGCAACAAATAAATTTAACAAATAGTAAATTTCTTTTAGACCCTTTGAACATGTCCGTAGTTTAGCAAGAGAAACAGTTTCATCCTCTTCATGGAAACAACTTTTAAAAAGAAATCCCTTTTCCTTGCAGATAAATTAAATGTGACTAAAACTGTTTCAGGCTTGGATTTCATTAATCCCAACGCTGTATCTGTACCCCAGGGTGAAAATGCAGCATTTCCAAGAGACAAGGCTTGTTTTGTTACCACTTCCTCTTTACATTGAGGATGTTTTTGACCGTTGCCAACTATGTCCCCAACCCCAGACAGTCTGAGTTTAGGTTTCAGGACTTACAGGTCATATGGGCCGACTCCTCCGTGATCCATACTTTCGCTTAAGTGACCCTGAAACGAAACAGTGCGAGGAAAGTCACTACAACATTGTAAACGAGAATTATTTAGAAAGCGCAGTAGGATTTGTTTATACATTAACTCGAGTTTTAAAGGCTGATACCACCACAAGCCTGCAGACTGAATTTACATAATAAGCCTTGTCAGCAGAAAGATATGGCAACCACACTGGAGAGAAGCGCCAAAACCTGGGAATTGACTGCACAGATTCAGCAGTTTTCAAGCAACTGTCCTATTACTCAGCTGTGTGCAAATCCTATAAATAGTTGGAAAAAGAGTTTGAGAAAAGATATTATCAACAACACTGGAGTGAATATAAATGAAAGACTACAAGAAGAATGCCTGCTACCATAAACTATTTAATTTTAGGTTTATGCAATTCACCCATATAGTGAAACACTCATATTCAATCCTCCCCAGAACAACTTTTTCTGTATCATAGAGACTGTGATAACTGTGTGGAAATAAAGTTGTTCCTGACTTAAAATCATGCGTTCAGTGACCAAAGTTATAGTAGCACTGAAAAAAGTGACTTATAATCAGTACTTGTATTTATGACTGTTGCAGCATCCCCACAATCAGGTGATCAAGAATTGGGTGCTTGACAACCAACATGTATTTACGACAGTTGGAATGGCCAGAGTCACGTGATCACCACTTGTGACCTTCTCAGACAGCTTCTGACAAGCAAGGTCAATAGGGAGCAGGGTGGATAAAAATCAATGATTTTTTTAAAAAAGATCAAAAAAATCGGATTTTTTTGATTTAAATCGGATTTTTTTGATTTTTATTGAATTTATTTTAATAAAAAACTTTTGGGGTAAAAATCTATCATAAGAGTTTTCTATTTACGATACATAAATAATTTAGTTTATTCAGCATGAAATGGAGCTTAGTTATGTAGCAGGAGGCTGTACATTCTGCAACACTGGGACTATCGGTGAGTCAACAGTGGGTCAAAGGAGTAGCAGAGATGATAGTTGCTCTTTAAAAATTATGATTTAAATCGAGTTGATTTAAATCAAGCCTTTTTACTAGTGATTTAAATCATGATTTAAATTGTGATTTAAATCAACTCGATTTAAATCAAATCCACCGATAGGGAGAGCTGGATTTGCTTAACGACACATGATTCTCTTAACTGCAGTGATTCATTTAACAACTGTGGCAAAAAGGCGTAAAATCAGGGGCAACTCACTTAGCAACCACCTTAACAATTTAGTGAAAATTTTGCTCCCAATTGCGGTTATAAGTCAAGGACTACCTGTATAAAAGGAAACTTGTTTAATTAATCAACTCCTTAATGCAAGTATACAGTTATATGGGCTAGTCTTTGAGCCATAAGAAATATGCTGGTTTTTTTTTAAACAGATTAGCACAGCTACTGTACTGGAAACAGTCCGAAAAAGTTGATCATCCTTTCTGCAATCTGTGAAAACCACAATCCACCATACAGAAGGTGTGAGTAAAATCAACAACAGTTATAAACTCATTAGAATACTCTATAGATGGACTACAGGACTGAGTTCACAGTCCACCACAGCCTATTATTTAGCAAATAATACAAGCATCATGAAAAGTCAAATTAGGCAATTTTTTCATTAGAGACACAGAAATCAGAAAGCGGTGTATGCAATACTTTCCCCAATCACATTCTTAAAATTTAATTCAATATAAGAAATATTTCACTTTGGTTCATTTTACTGCATGACTATTAGCACTACAACATTCCTTTACATTCCAGCAACTAAACTATTAGTAGGAATGTAAAAATCCAATAGTTCCTAAAAATAAATCAAAATCACAAAGCTGGGAATCCACGGTTTGTTTGTTTGTTTTTTAAAAAAAGAGGCAGGATACAGATCTCTCACCCTATCCTAGGGAGAATGTGGAGACTCTGGAGTTCAGCACACATATTTGTGTTCCTGGTTTGTATTTACATCTAGATGACTCTTAAGATTACATATTCACTCAAGGTAGAAACTATAATGCTTACATCAATCCTGGATAACTAAGCAACAGATTGTTTATGTCTGTAAGATCAAGTGTTAAAAAAAAATATACAATCCTGACATGAGCAAAAGATTATGATGGCCAAGTGTAACAATTTTTCACTCTGCTAAAGAGAAGTTCCCTGAGGATGGGCTCCAGCATAAGGATGAAAGTTCAGAAGACTAAACCATTGGTCCCAGTGACCGATCCTGATTGTACATTTGCCTTCATTCATGTAAAATTTTCAAGTGTGAAAAATTCTGCTACAGTGCAGAGAAAAGCCAATTCTACCATTGCTTTTGCATGCCACTGGTAAAGAGCATAAAGCAACCTTTGCAATTAGGCCACGATCAAGAGCCAACTCTTAAGTGCAAGTGTTTAGAGCAGAGGTCCCCAATCCCTGGGCCGTGGCTTGTTCGAAATCAGGCCACACAAGTGGCGGACTGGCATGCACAGCTCTACGTGGATAAGTGGTGGGTTGGCGCACAGTTGCATGCGCAGCTCAACTTCCTTGAGCAGTAGACTGGTGTGTATGTCCATGAGTGAATGGCAGGTTGGCACTTGTGCGGACTGGTTCCCTTCTCTCCTTCCCTGCTGGGCCGCCAAGGTGTAAAGGTTGGGGACCTGCTGGTTTAGAAGTCTTTAATAACATGCTGAATCTGTAGTGCCAAAGTCAGCAACCTCCAACCTGCAGACAGCCCCCCTCAAATTTCTACAAAGCGTACTATTGAAATTTGCAACAAACTGCAAAATCTGAGGCAAAATTTCTCACTGTGTTTCCAAAGCAGAAAAGGGCACATATAAGTAGTCTGGATATCATTAAAGTAAAGCACCTTTCAAAGTATTCTCCCTGCAAACCATAAATATCAACCCATTTACATGATATTAACATGCAATGGCCCTACAACTGCAGTCTTAGCTACCAGAAAATGTTACTTTTTAAAAAACAACAACACTGCAGCTCTCCAAAAGTTGCCTGTCATGCTGTGGTAGCACAATTAAGTAATTGCTAATCTTTGTCCCTTTACAGATAATGCTCTAACCCCAAACCCTTATCAGAAAACTAAGTATGTGTAATTAAAGATTTGCCTTTACAGATATTTGGCACAGAAAATGTAAATATCTGGTTTCCTTTCCACAATCTCTTAAAACTAATGATCCTATGGTATTTCAAGCAAAATATTGAGATTACAGGTAGTCCTCAATTTACAGCAAATCATTTAGTGATCAAAGTTACAATGGCACTGAAAAAGAGAGCCTTATGACCGTTTTTCACACTTATGACCACTGAAGCATTCCGATGGTCATGCAATCAAAATCTGGACGCTTGACAACTGGCATGTATTTATGACAGTTGAAGTGTCCTGGAGTCATGTGATCACCTTTTTGCGACCTTCTGGCAAGCAAAGTCAATGGGAGGGAAGCCACTTAACAACCATGTTATTAACTGAACAACCGCAGTGATTCACTTAACAGTTGTGGCAAGAAAGGTGGTAAATTGAGGCAAAACTCATTTAACTGTCTTGTTTAGCAACAGAAAATTTGGGCTCAACTGTGGTCATAGAACTACTTGTGTAAGGGAATATTATACCACTTGCCTGCATTGTTCTAAAAAGTCAAGTATAAATTTTCACCTGCCCAAAAAATACCCTTCAATCTCCCTTTCCATTCCTATCCTCTTCAAATTTCCCCATACATTATTGCAACTATCTGTGTCAAAAAAGGCTCTCCAACATCTCCGTTAATAGTCCTGTTTCTATCCAAAGACACATCACTGAAAGACAGTAAGGAAGTTTAGACTAGAGAAGGCTAATTCGAGTTAACAAGGGCAACATCTTTTTCCATCAGGAGCCACAAGGCTGTATTGTTTTTTATATAATAAGGTCTGTGATGTTCAATGGGATTAATGAAGCGGCCTCCTCCAAGGTGAATGCCTAAAGGCACAGTCTGTTTGCATAAATTGCCTCCCCATATGAGTAATACGCTACATAAGGAGTAGCTGACCTTACCCACTGTGAAGCAACATTACTAAAGCAGCTTGAATAGTCACCAATGGTTCACTTATTACAACAGTGTTATTAGGGAGAATTGCATTCCAAGGGGAGGTCCTACATTAGGACTTGTAGAGGAAAACAACAGGACTCTCTACCGACTCAAGGAGATGCCCAAGTTTGGGCTACCCCAAATTTTATTGCAGCATCAGTTTCCATGGACGAGAGCCCATTTCATCCCAGTGCAGCAGACGGAGGTCAACACTCCTGACAATGATCAACTGACACGCTGGGCTCTGGCCCCACAGACCATTGGCAATAAATCTGCCAATGTGACACTTTTTTTTTAAAAAAAAAGTCACCATGTTTGCTTGGGTTCAAAAGCCTGGGCCCTTTTGAAGGGCAGTTTTGGGGGTCATGTTTACTTTGGTTAAAAAGCCTGGGTCCTTTTATATGCCACGGTTTTGGGGCATTTCTAAAGAGGGACTGGATAAATTCAAGGAGGAAAAAAGTCCATAAGAAACTATACAAATGCAAAGGAGATGGGCAAGAGGCAGAAGATGCCCTCAGGGACCTAGCTTGGCTCTTCCCTTCAGCATCTCATGAGAAGGCCCTCCTGTAATTAATTGAAGTAATTAACATTTTCTTCAAATTAATAGGGCTCTTCTGTTCATTAAAAGCGCCTTTGAGTCACAGTTTAGGTCCACTTTTTCCCAAGTGCAGAGAAGAGCAACTAAGATGATTAAAGGCCTGGAGGCTAAAACATATGAAAAACGGTTGGAGGATTTAGGTTTGGCCAGTCTAGGAAAAAAAAAGAATTAGGGGTGACATGATAGCAGTATTCCAGTATTTGAGGAGCTGCCACAAAGAAGAGGGGGGGGGTCAACTTATCTTCCAAAGCACCCAAAGGCCAACTAATGGATAAAAACTAATCAAGGAGAGACGCAACCTGGAATTAAGGGGAAACATTCCTAACAGCTAGGACCATTAACCAGTGGAACAGCTTGCCACTAGATGTTGTGGGTGCTCCATTCCCTGGAGGTTTTTAAGAAAAGACTGGACAGCCACCTGTCTGAAATGTTACAGGGCCTCCTGCTTGAGGAGGGGGCTGGACTAGAAGACCTCCAGGGCCCCTCCCAGCTCTGAGTCATTCAGCATTTCTTTCATTTGCAGCTGAGCGAGACTTGCGTTGCAATCCAGGCGGAGGGCACAGGGCGTTTCTTTTGGCTCCCGTAACCACCTGCCTGCGAGGTAGGCTGGGTATGGAAGAGGAAACCGGCCTAATCTATCTCCCTAGGGAGAGACTTGAACCCGGGTCTCCCCGGTGCCAGACCGACGCCTGAGACCCCGACGGCCACGACCTTCTTCCGAGAGGCTTCTCATGCCCCCACCCCACCCAGGACAAGATTTCCTGGTGGTCTCCTGTCCCCGCTTGGTTCTCCGAGGCCGCTCAGGGGCTGCCCCCCGCCCGAGTTGGGCCTCTTTTAACGTCCCTCATCCCGTCCTCCAAGGGCCAGAAGGGCCGCGAGGAGCCTCTTCCCTCAGCGGCGGGGAAAAGGAGACGCGGGACCCGAGGAGTCTCCGCCTCGGCGGGGTGGCCCGCCTCGCCTCGCCTCGCTCCCTGAGGCCCGGCCTCCCCACGCCGCCTTCGGCCTCCTGGCCACGCCGCCGCGCTCACCCCTTCCTCCAGCTCCTCGTCCGAGGCCGCCTCTTCGGGCTGGTCGAGGTCGATGTCGAAGACGCCCGCCATGGCCCCGGGGACGAAGCGTGCGGGACAGCCGCCTTCGCTGCCAAGAGCCGGGAGCGTCCGGGTGAAGACTGAGAGCGCCTCATGGGCCCGCGGCACCCACCCACAGCGCCGCCATGACGGCCGCCATCGCCGGGGCTAAGCCAGGCCCTGCCTCCTCAAGCTCGCCGGCGCCAACGCGCATGCGCCGGAGCGGGCGCGCGCCAAGCCGAGCTTTGCCGCTCAAAAGGTTTGGGCCCGACGTCGCCGTGGCCGTCCTGGAAGGACGGAGCCGCCTCGATCCGCGCAAGCGCAATAAGGGCGGGATAACGCTGACTTCCACACGCCACACACACACACACACGCGCGCGCGCGCACACAGCCTGGACGGCGGTTGCTCGATGACTGGGACAGGCGTGTTTTTAAAAACCACAGCGCTCGAGTGCGCCGGCGTCGATAGGGCGCATGCGTCACGCTCGCGACTGAGGCAACCCACCTGCCCTTTTCTCGGATAACTTTTTTTTCCCCGAGACTGATTTTCCCGCCTCGGCCCGACGGGCTTGGTGGGCGCATGCGCGGAATGAGCCGAAAAGGGCCGTGGCTGTTGCTTGGGGAAACCTAAGCGCATGCGCCGTGGGAGGAAGAAGGAAACGGGTAAAAGGAGCTGTTATATAATTTATATTTTTATATACAATATACATGTAGAACGTGGATACATATATATATATATATATATATATGGTATAAGTGGCTAACTATGTCAGCTGTTCATAATATAGCTAATAATATTATCTGACCTCAGTGGCTAAGACACTGAGCTTGTCGACCGGTAGTTCGGCGGTTCGAATCCCTAGGACAGGTCTGCGTAAGCAGGGGGTTGGACTAGATGACCTCTAAGGTCCCTTCCAACCCTGTTACCGTTAAGGGTAATAGCTAAGAATTTGCGCGGTATGGTTTTCTAATTAAATTAAATTCTGCCAACTATTTTTGAATTCATAAACATATTTTGCTACCTAATAGCTTATAATGTATAGACTGCTTCTCTGTAACCATCAGCAGCAGCAGGTTGATTTCTTTCCCTCAGTAAAGTAATCCATACATATTTGTTATAATATATTTAGTATACAGTAGTAGTCCATACCAGTCTGTAAGAATTTGACTTAAAAGTATAGTAAGACAAAACATTTGACTGTTGTCGGTTATTGTGTGCTAGGTATAAAGTTTGGTATAGGTCAGGCTATCAGTTAATTCTAAATATTTATTAAATTTACATGCTACATTTATAAGCATTTTTGGGCAATTATAATAATTATACTGTAGGTCTGCTCTGATTCAAAGGAATGCACACACCAACACATGTACTGTATGTGGTTATATTAACAATATTTTCTATGTGTGTTCATATATACATGTACTGTATTAAGATTATATTAACAATATTTTATGTGTGTGTCCATATGGACATACATAGAAAATATTGTTAATATAATCACATACAATACATGTTGGGGATCACATGACCCCAGGACAGTGCAACCGTCATAAATACATGCCAGTTGCCAAGCTTCTGAATTTTGATCATGTGACCATGGGGGAACGCTGCAATGGTCGTAAGTATGAAAAACTGTTCTGCCCCAGCTACGGACCCAAAGAACGCAGCACACATAAAGTCTGTACAAACCTTAGTTTACTAAATTAAATCAGTCTTTTTCAAACAAAGGCTGTTAATTTACTTTCTTAACAGCCTACAAGAATCCAAAGAATAAATAATCGTAATCTTACTAGGATTGGCAGAAAGCCCAGAAGCAATTTGCAGGACACTGATAAGAGAACTAAGATCCAGACGCGAAGGAGAGTGAATGAAGTTGTTCCCTGCAAATTGCCTCAGTTGTCATCCTTCCTTAAATAGGCTAAGGAAGTGGCCAATTAGCCCCAAGCCTTACTCTCGAGGAGACCTCCTCCTGAGGAGCCACTCCTGCCTTTTGACAGCTCTGCGTGCCCGTGCATTGAGAAGAGGCTCCTCCTCTTCTTCGTCATCACTTAAGGAAGCTTCTGGAGGTTTTGAAGGCCCTGGCTGAATCCCCGCCTCTGGCACCACATCTTCTCCAGCCTCCTCATTGTCTGACTCGAGTGCCAGCTGCATAGGCTGCTGGCACAGCATCACACCAGCCTCCTCGCTGTTGGAATCAGCTACAATCCGCACAGGCCGCTGACGGACCACAACAAAAACAGTCATAAGTCACTTTTTTCAGTGCCTTTGTAACTTCGAATGGCCACCAAATGAACAGTTGGAAGTTGAGGACTACCTGTAATATAATGATTTGTGTGTGTTGGTGTGGAATCAGAACACAGGACCCACAACAAATAATCAACACTCACTCTGCTCTTTACAGGTAGTCCTCAACTTACAAAAGTTTATTTAGTGACCATTGAAAGTTACAGTAGCATGGAAAAAAATGACTTACGACTGTTTCTCCCAGTTACGACCGTTGCAGCATCCCCATGATCTTGTGATCAAAATTCAGACGCTTGGCAGCTGGTTCATATTTATGACCGTTGCTGTGCCCCGAGGTCATGCGATCCCCTTTTGTGACCTCCTGACAAGCCAAGTCAATGTTGAAGCCGGATTCGCTTAACAACCGGGTTATTAACTTATCAACTGCGGCGATTCACTTAATAACAGTGACAAGAAAAGTTATAGCATGGGCGGGAAAAAACTCGCTTAACAAATGCCTCACTTAACAACAGAAATGTTGGGCTCAATTAGCACAAATTCCTTCTACATTTCCAGTTTTCTAACATGTTCCACTTAAGAATTTGTTTTCCATGTTAGTCTGTGAATAAATAAATAAAGTTGAGGCTGTCGGATTCCAGGTTTAAGATGGCGATTAAAACGTGGTCTCCTCTTCTTCAGGGAAAGGCGGCTAAGAATGTCCATCGTAGCCATTCAACTGGGTCAGTGCGGCAACCAGATTGGGCGCGAGGTGTTTGATACCATCTGCACAGACCTCCACAGCTCCCAGGGGTTTTGCTCCAAGAAGGAGAACGACTCTTACCAGGCAGCTTGTAAAGAACGTTTTTTTGAGGAAAAAGATGAAGGTAAGAAGTCATCAGCGTAATGACCTCTTGAAAGGTGGTGGGGCAAAGCTCCCCGAGGGAGAATCGAGACTGTGACAAACCAGGCTGGAGAAGAATACGGAATAACAGAATTGGAAAGGGACCTTGGAGGTCTTCTAGTCCAACCCCCTGCTCAAGCAGGAGACCCCATACCATTTCTGACAAGTGGCTGTCCAATCTCTTCTTTAAAAAAACCTTCGGTGTTGGGACACTTCTGGAGGCAAGTCGTTCCACTGATGAATTGTTCTCATTGTCAGGAAATCCTTGATCAGTCTCTTAATTTCAAAAATTTTATTTTTTAAACAAATATAAAAAACAAATAAAAAAACATCTTCAATGCGATCAGTCCCTTCTTGAAAGCCTCCAGTGATGAAGCTCCCACAACTTCTGAAGGCAACTTCTGTTCCATTGGTTGATTGGTCTCACTGTCAGAAAATTCCTCCTTATTTCCAGGTTGAATCTCTCCTTGTTCAGTTTCCATCCATTATTCCTTGTCTGGCCTTCAGGTGCTTTGGAGAATAGCTTGACCCCCTTCCTCCTCTCTGGGGCAGCCCCTCAAATATTGGAAGATGCTATCCTGTCTCCCCTGGTCCTTCTCTTCACTAGACTAGCCATGCCCAGTTCCTGCAACCGTTCTTTGTATGTTTTAGCCTCCAGTCCCCTAATCATCTTGGTTGCTCTTCTCTGCACTTTTTCTAGAGTCTCAAACATCTTTTTTATAGTGTATTGACCAAAACTGGATGCTGTATTCCAGATGTGGCCTTACTAAGGCTTTATAGAGCGGTACTAATACTTCACGTGATGGATGAAGCATGGAATTTGCCTGTACAGGTAGTCCTCAACTTAAAACCGTTCCATTAGTGACCATTTGAAGTTACAGCAGCACTGGAAAAAGTGACTTATCACCAATCCTTGCACTTATGCTGACTCTGTAAACCGCTTAGAGAGGGCTGTAAAAGCACTATGAAGCAGTATATAAGTCTAAGTGCTATTGCTGCTATTAAGACCATCACAACTTCCTTATGGTCACCTAATCAAAATTTGGGCACTTGATATGTATAATATAATGGTTGCAATCAGTGGTGGGTTCCTCCTGGTTCGCACCGGTTCACAAGAACCGGTAGTAAAAATTTTTAATAGTTCGGAGATAACATTGGCTGGCCATGCCCCCAAACCGGTCCCCGGCCCGGTCGCCGCTCGCTTACCCCGCCTACCTCATCAGAGCCTTTTTTTTTACTTTTAAAAGCATTTTTTCTACAACCTCTTCGGCTGAAAAAATGCTTTTAAAAGTTTTTTAAAAAGCTTCTGATGATCGCGCAGCTCAGCTGGGATCTCAGAGGCTTCTAAAAGCATTTTTTTCTACAATCTCTTCAGCCGTAGAGGTTGTAGGAGGGAAAAAATGCCTTTAAAAGCCTCTGGCGATCCCAGCTGACTTGATCGTCAGAAGCTTCTAAAAGCATGTTTTCCTGCAACTTCTTAAGGTTAAGCATAGAAAATATGCTTTTAAAAGTTAAAAAAAAAAAAGTTGGCCACGCCCACCCAGTCACATTGCCCCCCACAAGCCACGCCCACAGAACCGGTAGTAAAAAAATATAGAACCCACCCCTGGTTGCAATGTCTCAGGGCCACGTCAGAGGTGAAATCTAGCAGGTTCTGACAGGTTCTGGAGAACCAGTAGCGGAAATTTTGAGCAGTTCGGAGAACCAGTAGCGGAAATTTTGAGTAGTTTGGAGATCCGGCAAATACCACCTCTGGCTGGCCCCAGAGTGTGGTGGGAATGGAGATTTTGCAATATCCTTCCCCTGCCACGCCCACCAAGCCACGCCCACAGAATCGGTAGTAAAAAAAAATTGGATTTCACCACTGGACTACATTTGCGATTTTCCTAGCCTCCGTCTGACAAGCAAAGTCAACGAAGCCAGATTCACTTAAGAACAACCCAGAGTCAAAGTTCTAACAGGCCCCTCCCCTCGCAGTCACGTGACCCAAATTTTGGAGCTCAGCAGCCTGAGCACATTTAGGGCCATTTGCCGTATCCCACAGTCACATGACCGTCTTTTAAAA